GAAGTGTCTGGCAAGAAAATATCTCCATGGAGAAACGCCATGACCGTGAGAGCAGAAAAAAGAGAGTGTCGAAAAGCTGAACGCAGGTGGCGAAAAACAAATCTCCAGGTTCACTTTGAAATCTATAAAGAGAGACTTGGCCTTTATAATTTGGAATTGAAAAACGCTCGACAATCTTTCTTCTCTGACATCATTACCAAAAACAAAAACAATGCACGTGCCTTGTTTGCTACCGTCGACAGACTAACTAACCCCCCAGTGTCAGTAGCCTCTGAATTTCTATCCACCAGGGCGTGCAATGATTTTGCCTCCTTCACTGACAAAATTCAGAAAATCAGACAAGCAGTCAGTGCCTCTGCATCAGGAACAGCAAATGTGTTGTCCCTATCTCCACTTAACATCAATTCAGACATCATGACACAATTCCATCAGATTAATGATAAAAACCTAGAAGACATTATACAACTTCTGAAATCCTCCTCCTGCTGCCTTGATATTATTCCAACAGGATTTATCAAAGATGTTTTGCCTTGCATGGCCTCAGATCTACTTCAAATAGTAAACAAATCTCTTCACTCAGGTATTTTTCCACAGGCCCTGAAAACTGCAGTCATTAAACCGCTCTTAAAAAACAATAATCTAGATGCCTCAGTAATGAACAATTACAGGCCCATATCAAACCTGCCATTTCTAGGTAAAATCATTGAAAAAGTTGTTTTTCAACAGTTGAGTAATTTCTTGCATTTAAATAGTTGTTTCAATGTGTTCCAGTCAGGCTTTTGTCCAAACCACAGCACTGAGACTGCTCTTGTAAAGGTCTTCAATGACATCCACTTAAACATAGACAGTGGCAGAACTTCAGTGTTAGTATTATTAGATCTCAGTGCTGCGTTTGACACTGTTGACCACAACATATTACTCGACCGACTAGAAAACTGGGTGGGACTTTCGGAAACAGTTCTAAATTGGTTTGAATCCTACTTAAAGGACAGAAACAACTTTGTTTCTATAGGTAAATACACATCTGAGTTGACAAATATGACATGTGGGGTACCTCAAGGCTCCATCTTGGGGCCTCTTCTCTTTAACATCTACTAGGGGTGTAACGGTACACGTACCCGTACCGAAATTATTCGGTACGGGCCCTTCGGTTCGGTACAGGTGTGTACCGAAGTGTACCGAACGAATATAACGTTAAACGTAAAAAATTGAGAACGTGAATAACTTTTTGGAAGTAATCTCAGGTGCTGCGTCGCAGCATTCAGAGTAATTTGCTCACATTGGGTTCAACGCGTCATAGAGCGAGCAAGTCATTTCATTGGATGAGAGGCATACTATGAGAGCTGGTCAGAGGGATGCGTTCAAATGTAGTCAGTAATTTGAGGAACTGTCAAAAATGTATGGCGAACGCAGATAAAGTTGAGCTCGAAAATCCTCCAGCATCATTGAAGTCTCCGGTTTGGGAACATTTTGGTTTTGCAGTTACGTACAAGGATGACGGACAAAGACAGGTGGACCGAACCAAAGCTGTTTGTCGGCATTGTTCAACTAACATTGGTTACGCGGCTGGCAATACATCAAACTTGCACACTCTTGAAAAGGCATCACCCGAACGTGAATATCACCGATACCAAAAGAAAAAAGACTGAAGTGCAAACCCAACTCCCACTAGCATTTAAGCCTCCACCACTCGCAAAGAGTTCAGACCGAGCCAAAGCTATTACAAACGCCAACTATCCTTATGTTGCCATGTTAGCAAAGCGCTACCTGGCTGTATCTGCTACCTCCGTCCCTAGAGAGGGTGTTCTCCACAGCAGGAGACATTGTTAGTGCCAGCAGATCTGCCCTTTCGGCAAGCAATGTGGACAAGTTCATCTTTCTTTAAAAAAACATGAAAATACAATGACAAGCAAGTCCTAATGTCAAACTGGCTGCTTAGGTACTAGTACAGTACAGTTCAAATACAGATTATTTCAGTTCATCGAAATGCTGCACCTTAATGTTCATTTTATTATATTTTGTATTTATTTGAGTGAATATTCACAGTTTAATAATAATTAAAAACCCCAAACTAATAGTTTATGTTTTGTGAGTACTAGTACAGTAAAGTTCAAATACAGATTATTTCAGTTCATCGAAATGCTGCACCTTAATGTTTATTTTATTATATTTTGTATTTATTTGAGTGAATACATTATTCACAGTTTAATAATAATAATAAAAAAATATATATATATATGTTTTGTTTTGTGAAAAAAAATTCTGCTGTACCGAAAACGTACCGAACCGAACCGTGACCAAAAAACCGAGGTACGTACCGAACCGAAATGTTTGTGAACCGTTACACCCCTAACATCTACATGCTACCACTGGCTCAGATAATAAAAAACAACAAAATAAGTTACCATAGCTATGCAGATGACACACAAATTTACATAACAATTTCACCAGGAGACTATGCTCCAATTCAAACACTGAGTAAGTGCATTGAACAAATCAATGACTGGATGTGTCAGAACTTTCTCCAATTAAACAAAGATAAAACTGAGGTAATGGTTTTTCGAGCCAAGGCAGAACTATAAAAGTTAGCGCTGAGCTTCAGTCTGCAATGTTCAAAACAACAGATAAAGCCAGAAATCTAGGTGTAGTCATGGACTCTGACCTGAGTTTCAACAGTCACATTAAAACAGTTACTAAATCAGCCTACTATCACCTAAAGCAGGGGTGGGGAACCTCCGGCCCCCGGGCCGTATACGGCCCGCGAGACCATTTGGTGTGGCCCTCGAGGTAATTTATAAACACACGCAAAAAAGAAAAAAATTAAAGAAATCTAGACCGCAAAATAATTAAACAAGTGAGTGCCTGTTTTTCCTGGCCAAGGTCAGGGTCCTTGAACACAACACAAGCCTAACGTGTCATCACGTGGTATATGTCTCGTCTGACAGGGGTGTAGTTCTGACCGGGAGCACCAGAACGCAGCTCCGCTCCGGCACTTCCAACAATTGCAGTACCCATAAGGAGCCGTACACATGCTGCAGTTTTTGCGTGGCTGTGTCTTTAGTTGTAAGCCCAGTGGCGATCTGTCATACTGATCATACAGACAATAACTTTGTTGTTATTAGCATCTGGTTAGCTAGCTATGCTAACGAATATAAGAAGCTTTTTCTACAACCAGTGAGGTAAAGGCACATCTTTATATGATCATTATAGTTATACAAAAATAAGAGAATAAAGTAAACAGGTATAAAATACTATATGACAGTAAAAAAAAGTTGTTACAGTTTGAAAGGGGAGTGATTTGTAAAATATCCATAAAGAAAAAGAAAATCTGTTTACAGGTCTGTTTCATATGGGTGTTGAGAGATGTATCCATAGGTCACCTCATGTTGCTCTCAAAGTGCACCAGATTGATGCTTTTAACTTCAACATTTAAAAATAAATCTTCCCGGGGGAGCATGCCACCGGACCCCCCTAGAGGAGGTTAGGTCCCCCCCCACTTAAATCATGTTCACATGGATAGGAAACAAAATACATTTGCACACATCTTGTGTCCATATCTTTCTGTTTTGGAAGTCATGCCACAACCGTGCACGTGCATGCATACGCGAGTCATGGTGAGATATCTGGATTAAGAGGTTGCTTTTTCTTTGCACAGCATGAAAGAAAGGTGAAATGAATGGGCTGTGAATTTAGTTTTTTTAAGCAGAGGTCAATAATTTGTACGGCCCTCGGAGGATGTTGAAAACATTGAAATGGCCCTTGAGAGGAAAAAGGTTCCCCACCCCTGACCTAAAGAATATATCTAGGATTAAAAGACTAATGTCACAGCAGGATTTGGAAAAACTTGTCCATGCTTTTATCTTCAGTAGACTCGACTACGGCAATGGTGTCTTCACAGGTCTCACTAAAAAATCTATTAGAAAGCTGCAGCTGATTCAGAACGCTGCTGCTCGAGTCCTCACTAACACTAAGAAAGTGGATCACATCACTCCAGTTCTGAAGTCTTTACACTGGCTTCCTGTGTGTCAAAGAATATATTTCAAAATACTGCTGCTGGTTTATAAAGCACTGAATGGTTTAGGCCCAAAATACATTTCTGACCTCCTGCTAAATTATGAACCATCCAGATCTCTCAGGTCTTCAGGGACGGGTCAGCTTTCTGTCCCCAGAGTCAGAACTAAACATGGAGAAGCAGCGTTCAGTTATTATGCTCCAAATATCTGGAACAAACTCCCAGAAACCTGCAGGTCCGCTGCAACTCTGACTACTTTTAAATCCAGACTAAAGACTTTTCTTTTTGTCGCTGCTTTTAATTGAACTATTCATATCTTAAACTGCACTGTAACTTTTATCCATGTATTTTTTCTTTTAATGTTTATTTTATTAGCTTTTCTTTTTAATGACTGATTTTAAATGCCATTTTCTTAATGTCTTTCGTTTTTTGTAAAGCACTTTAAATAGCCTTGTGTTGAAAGGTGCTATATAAATAAACTTGCCTTGCCTTGAACCATTATTTTACAGACCACCTACAGTAGAAGGGAAAAGCACACCAGGCCCCTGAAGTGAGCAGGGTGTTGACTCTTGTCTGAATGACCGATGGACTTACATACACTTCAATACCATAGACATGTCTTCTGGAAATATAATTGGGGTTAGTTATCTTATCAAGGAGGACACTTCGACATGTTTACAGCCGGTGTGGGACTCAACCGGTAATCCCCTGATTTACAGAAGAGCACATTAACCCCCTGAACCTCTAGATTCAATCTGACTGAGCTGAGACCCGCCCTGACACTGCCTTAAATCAAATGGGAGGCGGGTCTTAAGGAAAATGCAAGTGCACATACTCTCAGGTTGAAGATTTCAGGTATTTTTGTTTACCAAGAGGCCAGTTTATATTTACAAAAAGCAACTTTCATGGACATGAACGTGGCCCGCCTCCAACACTGTATCCATATCTCTTTATACATCCATCAAGTGAACTTATGTGATAAAAGAACCTTGAGCTGTTTCTCTCTCTGGGTGAGCTGAGCCTTCAGTCGGTCCACCAGGTTCTTCATGGTGTTGCTGGGGGAGCGCACGTTGGCCTCCTTCTGGGCGGACAGCTCAGTTTGGAGGAAGGTCATCTCCTTCTCCATCTGGGCGATTCTGTTCGTCTGATCCTCACTGTCACCGGTCAGAGCCTTCACCTGGAAGGCATGGTGCTCCTCCAACCTGCAACAAATCATCACTGTTAGTGTGTTTTAAAAAGGGAGCAGATGTTATAAAAGGGCCCTATTATGCTTTTTAGGGGTTGTCCCTTTCCTATAGTGTGTTATGGTAAAACCCCTTAAACCCTAAAAAATCCTTTGTTTTCTCTTTTGTAACATAATGATATCACTATTTAAAACTTGCACTTCTATTGGTTCAAGGCTTTTATTTGTCATACGTACATAGCTACAGTGTAGTTATGCCGATGAAAATCTTAGGTCTCAGGTTTCAGACAGAGGGTGAAAAGTGGTGCTGCAGCACAGGCAGTATGAGAGAAATAAAGAGCTTTTTGAACATTAAAGCATAGAGACATGTAGAGACACTACATACTGATATACACCTGAACATCAGCAGGAGAGGACTCTTTAAAGTAGAGACACTACATACTGATATACACCTGAACATCAGCAGGAGAGGACTCTTTAAAGTAGAGACACTACATACTGATATACACCTGAACATCAGCAGGAGAGGACTCTTTAAAGTAGAGACACTACATACTGATATACACCTGAACATCAGCAGGAGACGACTCTTTAAAGTAGAGACACTACATACTGATATACACCTGAACATCAGCAGGAGAGGACTCTTTAAAGTAGAGACACTACATACTGATATACACCTGAACATCAGCAGGAGAGGACTCTTTAAAGTAGAGACACTACATACTGATATACACCTGAACATCAGCAGGAGAGGACTCTTTAAAGTAGAGACACTACATACTGATATACACCTGAACATCAGCAGGAGAGGACTCTTTAAAGTAGAGACACTACATACTGATATACACATGAACATCAGCAGGAGAGGACTCTTTAAAGTAGAGACACTACATACTGATATACACCTGAACATCAGCAGGAGAGGACTCTTTAAAGTAGAGACACTACATACTGAGATACACCTGAACATCAGCAGGAGAGGACTCTTTAAAGTAGAGACACTACATACTGAGATACACCTGAACATCAGCAGGAGAGGACTCTTTAAAGTAGAGACACTACATACTGATATACACCTGAACATCAGCAGGAGAGGACTCTTTAAAGTAGAGACACTACATACTGAGATACACCTGAACATCAGCAGGAGAGGACTCTTTAAAGTAGAGACACTACATACTGAGATACACCTGAACATCAGCAGGAGAGGACTCTTTAAAGTAGAGACACTACATACTGATATACACCTGAACATCAGCAGGAGAGGACTCTTTAAAGTAGAGACACTACATACTGATATACACCTGAACATCTGCAGGAGAGGACTCTTTCAAGTAGAGACACTACATACTGATATACACCTGAACATCAGCAGGAGAGGACTCTTTAAAGTAGAGACACTACATACTGATATACACATGAACATCAGCAGGAGAGGACTCTTTAAAGTAGAGACACTACATACTGATATACGCCTGAACATCAGCAGGATAGGACTCTTTAAAGTAGAGACACTACATACTGATATACACCTGAACATCAGCAGGAGAGGACTCTTTAAAGTAGAGACACTACATACTGATATACACCTGAACATCAGCAGGAGAGGACTCTTTAAAGTAGAGACACTACATACTGATATACACATGAACATCAGCAGGAGAGGACTCTTTAAAGTAGAGACACTACATACTGATATACACCTGAACATCAGCAGGAGAGGACTCTTTAAAGTAGAGACACTACATACTGAGATACACCTGAACATCAGCAGGAGAGGACTCTTTAAAGTAGAGACACTACATACTGAGATACACCTGAACATCAGCAGGAGAGGACTCTTTAAAGTAGAGACACTACATACTGATATACACCTGAACATCAGCAGGAGAGGACTCTTTAAAGTAGAGACACTACATACTGATATACACCTGAACATCAGCAGGAGAGGACTCTTTAAAGTAGAGACACTACATACTGATATACACATGAACATCAGCAGGAGAGGACTCTTTAAAGTAGAGACACTACATACTGATATACACCTGAACATCAGCAGGACAGGACTCTTTAAAGTAGAGACACTACATACTGATATACACCTGAACATCAGCAGGAGAGGACTCTTTAAAGTAGAGACACTACATACTGATATACACCTGAACATCAGCAGGAGAGGACTCTTTAAAGTAGAGACACTACATACTGATATACACCTGAACATCAGCAGGAGAGGACTCTTTAAAGTAGAGACACTACATACTGATATACATCTGAACATCAGCAGGAGAGGACTCTTTAAAGTAGAGACACTACATACTGATATACACCTGAACATCAGCAGGAGAGGACTCTTTAAAGTAGAGACACTACATACTGATATACACCTGAACATCAGCAGGAGAGGACTCTTTAAAGTAGAGACACTACATACTGATATACACCTGAACATCAGCAGGAGAGGACTCTTTAAAGTAGAGACACTACATACTGATATACACCTGAACATCAGCATAACATGTCTTCTTTAACTATTATTATAACAGTTTTTTAGGACTACTTTTATCTACGTCAAGTCCAAGTCATTACCACTGACTCTAACCAGCTCGGGGGGCATTTTCTACTGACCATGTGTCTGTCGTGTTCTGTAGCTAATGTGCTATCAAGGGGGTATAGTCATGATTAAAGACATGAAATCAAACGCCCTGTAGTTTGGAGAAAACTGACAGGAATAACAAAACGGCAGTTAAGCTATTTCATCATTGTCAGAGTCTGGTAGCTTTGAAGAGATCTTAGATAAATGTTTTTAGTTCCTTGTTTTGGACGGGCTGTCTGACAACAAGGAAGTGTGGTGAAAGCACTCTTTATCTAATAACTGACATTTATGCGTGACTCTTCGGCCCCGTTCCCATGCTCCTGAACTGGGACTCCTGTCTGGTCGCGTGCTGACAATCCTCAGAATCTCTTCAAGGGGAACATACCTAACCAACATTGTTTCTATGTTTGCCTGCAGTAAGCATCGACAAAATTACATTTCTGTTAAATTCGGTAAATAAAGTTCCAGTTTAACAGAAGTGAGAACATCTTAAGCTTTTATACTGGGACAACTCCCCCTGTGAAACTGAATATGTAAGCGCTGTACGGTTACAGTAAAATCAAATGTAATGTTTTGCATTTGATTGGGCCTAGAATGCAGTTGTATATTTTTTTCCGCGCTTTGGCAGCCAGTTTTAAACTCAAGGATGCTGAAATGATTCAGAGGTCAAGTGTTTGTGTGTGTGTAGGCATAAACTTTGCATGAATTATATATTAATAAGACCTTCTGACATGCTACATAGCTTAACTTGATGCAATTTTACAATATACTCACGTTCAACGTTTATTGGGAGTTGCGAAATGCTGAGTGACGTTGTCCTTTGAGAGGTAGTTCTTAGTAAAGTATTAAATAGTGCTGCATTATATTAAATATCAAAACATTTTTTGCTCACTCCCATTCATGTCATTCGGAGTGTCCTCGGCCGGCCCCAATGACCTGCGCCTAAAAGCATCTTTTCATTGACTTCAGTGATTTGGCTGATTTAACTAACCTATTAACCTTTTCAACTGCCCATTAAATCACTTTAATGTTGTTAAAATCATGTTATTCCAAACGGTCTGAAAGTGACAGCTTGTTCCCTCTCTTCATTGAAGTGTTGTGGTGCAGAAACCTGTATGATTCATTTAGAAAGCGAACAAGGAAATGTGTTGTTGCATACAGATAGGAAACCTTTAAATGGTGGTATTTGAAGTTATTCAAGGGCATTTGTTGAGAAAGGGGGTTCAGTAAATATTTCAGGCTTTAAACGGTACTTTTAGTAGACTCTGAACTGCTGAACTGACAGGGACTAGTTGTTTCTCTACTATTGGGCCTTTGTATATTAGATGTAATCCTGGATGAGACACACATTAGCAAAGTGCCTACTGGTACATTCCTGTTAAGGCATTTCAACCTTTCAACGTTACTATGTAATTAGCCATCTATTAAACTGGGGTTTAATGAAATGAGACTAAAATAAAAGGAGTCTCTGTCCGTCTGGGTTATGCGGCTGTATCACTGAGGATCCAGGGAAGGGTCAAGACCTGACATATTCTTATCAGCAGTCTGGTATTATTCTCGGCTGGATTTGTGATTTAAGATAAACCACCGTAAAAATGACGCTCTTTAAACTGAATAAGGCAGTGAGGGGAGTTTAAGAGTTTGTAGGGGTATCAAATGTGGTTTTGTACAAAAAACTGCAAATTCATGATCAGGGTATATGCAGGAATCCTGAAGTCAAATGTAATTCCTTTTAAGACCTTTTAAGACCCTTTCCATACATTTTAAGACCTCATCGGCACTTGGAGTTCTAACCGGTTACCTTGGCGACACACTTTACCTCACATTGACTATATGCAGTATTGATTGTCCTTCCTCCTTATCTTCCAACCATTTGGACGCAGACTTGCATTTCCCCATAACGATGTTGTTTAACAACCGGCGTAAACGGGCCTTCGCTCGCTATCAAGCAGTGAGCGTGCGATGTCCTGTTCAGATGACGTCAAACCCAACGGGATGCCATCAATAAACTACACAGAATCACACTACACACCTACGCCATGATTACATTCAGGCAGACTGTAGAACACAACCTCTTTGGACCATTTATATACTTATTGAAAACAAGCTACAAAATGTAATACCTTGGAAAATGCCGTTTAATACTTTTTAATAGCCTTAATTCTCGCTAAATTGATTTATCAACTTTTAATACTTTTTAAGACCCCGCGGTCACCCTGATGATGAATATGTTCGGCAAATAACATGCAGGGAGCACTGACTGTGTAGCAGACTGTGAGTTTAATTACAGAACGGTTAGCGTGTCTTATTTTAGGTGTTGGTCCGGGACTGGATACTTTTTGGAGATAATTGCTGGTAGTATGTTGATTCTGGGTCAGAGCTTTATTGGTTTTGACTAACTGAACCTGTACAGGACTCTACTGCTGATAATAATTGCATTTATCATTAATTGAATCACTAATCAAACTACTTGAAAAAAGGGTTATAATTCTGTTTGAATATAATCCCCACAGCTGACCAAAAGAAAACGTTTTTAATAAAGGGATAATCACTTTGACGTTTCCTCTGCGTGTTTCTTAGCCAGTGTTTCCATGGCGCTCCTCTGTCTCTCCAGCTCAGCGTTGCTCAGCCTCAGCTTCTCTGTGACGGAGAAAAGCGAGACGTCCTGCTCCGACACCGTCTGCTCCAGCTCAGCCAGGCGCTCCAGGTGCTTGTTGGTCGGCACCCTGATGCTGGGCTTCTTCATCAACTCCTGGACAAAAAGATGGAGGATACATTATTAAAAACACTGCTTCATGTGTGCTTTTATTGATGTCTTTATGTCTTAATGTGTGCATATGTATAAATTATTGTGATTGTGTATATATAGGTATATACATATTTTTATACATATTTCTATATATATATTTGTATTTTTTGTATTTGGGATTGTGGGAAACGGTATTTCGATCTCTCTGTCTGTGCACACAAACTGGGTGTTTGACAATGAAGTTGACTTTGACTTTTTGACTTTGACAAACTAATCAGAACATCACATTTCAAAAAGTGGTAAAAGACTCTTTGAGGAACATCTCAATCACTCAGGATTTATCCCATAAAACACTGGAAATGAGGTGTAACATGTTGTTTATAACACACCATACATATAAATACACCAAGGGACTTAAAGGTGCAAAGTAAAACAAATATTTTTCCAGAACTTAAGTTTATAACTTGAAAACTATCAACAGAATGTGAAGAGGTGACATTTTTGTGAGTTGTTTGTTTATTTATTTGTTTATTCCACACATGGCAGTTATTTTAAAACAAAACATGTACACTTTACAAAACATGTACACTTAAGCTGGAGCCACACGGAGACGAAAACGAACCGAATTCGATATCAAAAAAGTCTTCCGTCCACACGAGACAGCTCGGCCCGCTGGAGACGCTGTAGTACATATGCCGGGCCTGTAAGTGGTGCTGTTCTTCCGCCACAAAATACACCAAAAGCAGCGAAGAAGACCCCCGAGCATGGTTGCCCTTCTGTACTCTCCGCAGTGGATTTAGCAACATGTAGTTCTCCATGTCCACTTGTTGCTGATGGTTGTGGTAGAGGAGCTGTAGATGTTACACTAACATCTGTAGCATGGTCAGTAGCTACTGACCATGCTACAGCAGTGAGCAGCAGAGGTGGGGAGAGGCGGGACTATTGTGTCATCGTTATCAGGAAATGATCGTATATAGGGCGTACACACAGAGCCGTTTGACCCCCCAGAGCTTTGCGTCCGCAGATCTACCCAACTTGGGACCCGTTATCGTTTCTGCGTTCCCCTGTCGGCCTCGTGTGGCCGAACCGTCTATAAGATAGAGAACTGTAGCGGATACGACCCGTTTCGTCTCCGTGTGGCTGCAGCCTTATACTGCTTGTTTTTTTGTTTCGTTTTTTTATATTGCATGGTGGAAAGGACAGTTACGTTAAAGATGTCTACAGTAGGCATTGTGTTGCTGAGATATTCACTATATTTATGATAACTAACTACAGTATGAATGGATGTATAAAGAGAAAGGGATAACGCGCAAGAGGGATGGTTTCTCAAGAAGTGAAGACTCCTTTAAGTCTAATCATTTCTGATGTTAAGGACTGTACCTGCACCATCTGTTGTGGCTGTAACTAAAAAACTGACCTGAAAAGAAAAAGGTTCTAAACTTAAAGGTTAGACATGGATAAGTGCGTACCATTGCAGTCTGTTTGAAGCGGTCGAGAGAGGTGTCCGTTTGCAAGTCCAACTTCTCATGCAACATCTTCATCTCCTCCTGATGTCTCTTTATCATCTCCTCCTGGTCCTGTGATTGAAAAGGTGAAGTTAAAAGAAACCCTTTGAATATAAAAGGATCATTTTTATTCTTAAATCTAAACCAGGTTTCTAAAGACAAGAGCCAATAATAAAAAGTGGCCAGTAGATAAGGGGCGGAATATTTATGTGGAAATAGCTGCTAAAAAAAACTTAGATTTCAGTCATTTGAGATCAAAGACATTTATAAACAAATTGCAACAGAAAAATCACTTGGAAAACACCTGCCGATTCACTTTTTCAGTTCCTATGAAACCGGTTTCAGGCAATCCTGGTGTTGGCAGTCATTTAATTTTTACTCACCATCTTAGAGAAACATCAAAAGATACTACCCGTCTGTTTTAATGACACAGACATTATTTTACATGCCAGGAATTCTGCACATGCCAAACCAAACCATTACATTGATCGACTACAGGTGGTACAGAGCTCATCGGCCAGGTGTCTAACCAGAGACAAGACAATTTATCACATGACTTATGTTTTTACCTTACACTGGCTTCCAGGAAGTTTAAGTATACATTTCAATCATTACTTTTAGGTTCACATGGCCTGCTTTCATTTCATTTCATTTCAAACCTTTATTTATCCAGGTGTATCCCATTGAGATCATTGATCTCTTTTTCAAGGGAGACCTGCTCAAGTAGGTTCCACATGAAACAGAACAACAAAAAGGACATCATACAGCATCATTACAGGGATTACAATTTACAATAACTTTTACTCTGGCGTGTGTAAATCACAAGTCAAACCAGATATTTAACCACTCCTTTAACCCTTACGTTGTGTTCGGGTCTCCCGTGACCCGTTTCAAGTTAAAATTATATAATAACTACGCTCTAGTTTTTTTTATGGAGGCTTCATGATATCCTCCACAGCAGCTATATCAACACTACAATTTTAGGCAAGTCCGAAGGTCTTTAAAAAAAAAGTGTATCATTTGGTGTTGGGGTCTGGGGAGACCCAGCAGAATTGTTTTGGGTGACTCGGGGTCAAATTTGGCCCAATCAAGATTCATCTTTGACTTCAGACGCCCCTCCCCCGCCCCCTTCATCCACTGGAACAATAATTGTTCGCAACATGCACCTGGTCTCCCCTCCCTCCGTCCCCCTCCCCCCACGGGAACTCCACCTTTCTCAAAGAATATGTACACTAACACTTGAACCTGAACTCACACATGCACGTGTGCAATATGTGGTGTAATGTGTTTGGGGCCATAACATTACATTACAACAGGATTGTACGGTTATGAATGCATTATAAGTTAGTTATGATGTAGTTCAAACTCATTTTTTTGAGTGTTTTGGACTGAGATAAATCATGGGTCAAAATGTACCCGCGATCACCATGAAGGGTAACAGCTTTCGAACACAACACAAGACATGTCACTTGTTTGACGTTTTTATCCAAAGCGACTTCCATACTCAATACTGTGGGCAATCCCCACAGGAGCAGTTTGGGGTGAAGTGTCTCAGGGACACAACGACATGCTGACTGCAGAGGGGTTAGAATCCCCTGATCCCAACACCAACGCACTAACGCACTAACCCACTGCGCCACACGCCTCCTAAACACAAGGGTTTACATCTATATGCTATTATCACTAAGTCTACCCCAATACAACTTGGATTAAACAATATCATATGTTCATTTAAAAAAATGGTGAGAAAGACGTGCAATGGGAAATTCAAAAGGAAGGAGGATGATTATATATATATTGATTGTCAAAGGAATGGATCATATCGTTTAAATAATTGATGTCTATCGTTATCGTTACACCCCTACTATGCGCCAGTCGGTTCTTTGAGATCCTCAGGCAGCCATCTTCTGATACAGAGACACAACTGAAACTTAACGGGCATTTTCAGTCAGGGCCCCAAGGCTCTGGAACAATCTGACTCATAAAATCAGGGCTGAGTAAATGATCGTCTTTAATCAGAGAACCTTTTCTTAATTTACTTGAGTTTTAATTACTTTCTAAAAGTAAAACACTTCAACAAATATATTTTCTCAATCTCACTTTTTTCGACACTATATTTGTTAATATACATACAACATGTTTTGATCTTTTCCCTTTAAAGCCTGACGATTTACGACCTACAGTTTTCTTTGCTATCTCTCTCAAGCTCACAACATTTTAAAAGCGTATGAAATCATGGCAACCATTTTTAAACGTACGTGGAAAGTTTGAACGGATTCATAATTTTGTATTTATTTTTGAAAACTGAATTAGAACACAGAGTTACTATAGTAACTAACATTTATCTCAACCTATTTATGTTTCTTTTTGTTGTTTTAAAAAAAATGTTTTGCTGTGATTTCCACCATATGTCTGTCTATCATTTTAAATGTTTTTGTACTATTAATCTAGTTTTATTCTGTGGGGGGGTTAAACATTTGTGACAACCTGCACACCTGTTTGTTTTGTCTTTGACACTGTATGTGTTGTTTAAGAAAAATGAAAATAAAGTTGAAGAAAAATGAATAAAAGCATATGAAACATATCACTGTACCTGTCTGGCTTGAGTTAACTGCTTCTGGTACTTCTTCAGCACGTCTTCCTTCTTGTCGATCCGCCCCTGGAGGTCTTTGATGGTCTGGTGGGCCAGCTTCAGGGTGCGCTGACCCTCCGGCTGACCCTCCTCGTGCTTCTTCAGGTCAGCTAGCAGCCGCTCTCTGTTGGCAGCGGCCGGGAGGCGAAGACGCAGCTCGTTGATCACTCGATCTCTGGAAACAATGTTCTGTTCTGCCTTCCACAGAGCGGCTTCTTTCTCCTTCAACTTCTGCATAAAAGGAGTAATAATTCAGACGATACGCTCTGCATTTTATTTATGAGGAATAGTGATTGTACAAATAGGGACTGAGTAGAATACCTCATCCAGAGTTTTGCAGGTGGCCTGTGTTTCCAAAATGGTGCGGACATGCTCTCTGACTTTACCCAACGCAAACTCCAGCTGATGAGCGAGAGGAAGACTCTGGTCTGGAAGGGATCCTGTACCATACTCATACTGAAAACAAAGAAATATAGTTATTCTCCAAAGCAACACAGTCTTATTCTAAATAATCATGCTTTGTTTGCTCTTACTTTAGATTACTTTATTGTCATTAGATAATGCAAGCAGAGTGTAACGAAATTAAGAGGGTCTAACCAGAGTGCAAACAGTCAGTTATATACACATCTATCAGCAGTCTGAATGATTCCCTCTGTAAATAAGTTTACCTTTTCCGAACTGCTCAGTATTTCGCTCTGGTGTTTCTCGTACTGCTCCAGTTGGCGCTCCAGCTCCACCTCTCGCTGATCATGAGCCAGCTGGTGTTCCTCCTGAAGCTAGACATGGCCAATAGAGACGTATTCTGGATTACCTTGACATTTTCTTGAATACTACAATGCTACTGACACCCTGCTCAACTTAAAAGCACCTTAGGAAGCGAGGCAGTTGGAAATGTGAGGACTTAATATCTCGATTTCTCTCCACCCTTTGTTATTGAGGTAAATGAGTCACACCACAATAATGTTTTATCAGCCAAATGACCAAGATTTTATTTGCAGGGCTCGACATTATAAATGGCCCGCTGACCCGGAAGCACTATTTAGACACCCCGGGCCAGCATAACGTACTTTCCACTAAAAATATTGCTTTAAAAAAAATGGTCCTGTGGTATTGGTATTTTGACAAGCAATTTTGTTAAATTGTTTCAGTTACAACATAGCGTTTCGTGAGGCGGTTGTCGTTGTTGGGTGAAAAGCAAACAGCTGTTTGCTGCAACTACACGAGCACTACAGACTTTCTCGCCACCTAACCATTCGCCAAAATGTTTTTAATACCGGTGGTAACCGGCCAACGCTGGACAAAAAACAATCTTCAAATAAAAGAATGTCACCGGAGGAGTTAAAGGAGAGTGACGGGGAGCATGAGAAGAAGAGGGAGAGAACGTTTCAGCCAGCTTGATCGATGGAGTTGGCTTCAATACGATGCCAATATAAACACGGTCTTTTGTCGGCTCTGTACATCAATGCCGGCCTATGCTGACAAGTAAGTGAAGAGTAGAAAATATAAAGGTATATTCGCTATAGGGAAATGTCCCAGCAGTTTAGGATAATGAAGGTTCTAATCTAATCTATTAAATAGCCATTACATTTCTAACTCCTAATGACAGGAAGGCAGAAAGCGCATTATACAAATAATAATAGCAGACATTTTTTAATAATGACCACAATATATATATTTTAATCAACCAAATATGAACAATTGAGGAAAATGAGGAAGAACTGATGATTACAATGTTGTAGTACAAGTAGTAATGTTTGTGCATAAATTACTATTGCAACAAATGTGTTAATTTTCTTCATTATTAGTTGATTTTTTTGGACGAATGCTCTTGGGTCAATGGTGGGGCCAGCGATAATACAATTCCACTGGCCTTCTACCCCTGATTTGTATTTACTATTTTATCAGTGTTATTGTGTTGCTCTGTGGGAGGAGCCTGTGACCTAAGATTTTCATTGTCATAACTACACTGTAGCTATGTACACATGACAATAAAAGCCTTGAATCCTTGAAGCTTGAAGACATTTTTAGATTTGTGTGTGCATATTGGTGAGTTTTTAAGCATGAATACAGTGTAGCAGAGATTTTTGTCTCACCCTGTGTTGCTGAACAACGTCCTCCTCCAGCGAGCGGATGTTTCGCTCCTGCTCCTCCACCAGCGTCTTCAGGTACCTGATCTCCTCCTTCTGCACCGCCAGCTCCCTGCCTTTCCTCAGCTCCTGCAGACGGGCATCCTCCATCTTTTTGTGCCACTCAGTGACCTGTTGGAAGTGATACTGATGTAAACTTGAAGGTTACATTGTTTGTTTTTTTACTTACGTATATTTACAGAGACCGTTGCAAAAACTAAGCAACTCATAAAAATCAGATCAAACAAAATTCACAAGAAAACAATCGTCACTAAACGTCAGTAAAGGTGGATTGAAACTATATTTTAATGTATTAAGTGTAAGTGTTACTACAGACAGAGTGCGTAGGGGTCGATTTGGAACAGGGCCAATGCCTAAGAAAAGGGGGATAGGTGTAATTCTGGACTACTGTCTTCATTTTTCAAACTGTTTTGTGATTTCGTCACAGCTTGTTTTTGGTTCAGCATTGTTTATGACACTGATACTGACATGTCTGTTCCTGCCTGCACTTACACTATCAGTAACGTCTGAATCAGAACATCTCCTTGTCTCCTTGGCCACCAGCAAAATATTATCTATTGACTGCTTAATTTAAAGAACACTTTATATACTAAAGTATTACGTTTTGAAATGGGACATAATTAGCTCTAAAGAAGAGTGGATTAAAGGAACAATAAATATGCTTGCCCAGTCGTGTTTTTGGTGGTTTTTGGTTGTCAACCTATTTATGTTTGTGAAATGTTGAAGTGATCCTACTGATTGTATCTTCATTGCTTCTGTTTTTGTTGAGATGGGAATGTCATCTCCTATATGTTATTGTTATGTCCATGTTTGTGTCTTTAGCATGTACAAAATAAAAATAAATAAAAAGTGTTACGTTTTAAAGGGGACCTATCATGCAAAATGCACTTTTTAATGTCTTCTCTCCATCAACATGTGTCCCCGGTGTGTCGGGGAACTCACGCAGCATCAGGAAACAAAACCCTCTCTCTTTTCCTCCGTACCCAAATCTCTAAAAACGGGGAACAACGGAGCTGATCCAGAATTTGCGTCCGATATGACGTAATATCTGAAATGTGGACCCACGGCCCAATCAGAAACGTTGCTATCAGAAACAATCCCCGACTGTTTTGGACGTAATATGGTCGATGTTTACCTTAGCATGGCTAACACTCAGAGCTAACCTGTACTGGAGAGCATGTGTGTGAAGAAGCAGGAAGTAAAAAGGAACTCACTTTGTGGTATAACCGGCAAGAGAGAAAGCCTTTGAGCTCCAAACTGTTTCAGAGACAATCCTTGATAATCCATGATATGGCGTTTCATCACGGCAGCATTTAGTCTAGACGGTAGCTGCCGGGTCCCGCATGAGCTCAGACCCCTCCTTTTTTATTCATCAATTTCTTTTTTTTGTAAAGCTTTATCCCCAAATCAGCACTTTTGAGTGAAATAGAGGGATATGAGGCATGGCTAGAATGGGTGATCTGTTTGGTATTTTGAGCAAAACACTTCATAGACATGTTTTTTATATATTTGTATATATCTGAGACCCATGCTATTGCCTAAAAATAGCATGATAGGAGACCTTTAAGCCTTACGTAGACACGCATCACATGCATTAAAGAAGCATCTTGCTCTCTTGTTGGAGTGGGAGATCAACAACACTGACCTTCTGGGCTCCTTTCACGTCCTTCAGTGTAGCGATGAGCTCCTCCAGGCCCCTGAGTCTAAGCTCCAGTTCCTCCGCCCTGCCCTCTGCCCTCTTCCTCTCCTCCTCCGCCTTCCTCTTCTCCTCCTGGGCTGTTGCTCTGTCCTCCTGAAGGCTAAACATAACCACTGAGAACTTCTCCTGCTGGGGGAGAGGTATGGCTCCGGCGAACTGCCTGCGTAGCGACTGGATGGTCTGACGGAGGTGTTTGGAGCGGTTTCTTCCCTCCTGTCGAGCGAGGAACAGAGAGCGCTCGCTGGCGTCCAGTCGCTGATCGGCGCGCAGTTTGTGAACCTCCAGCTGTTGGACGCGAGATGTGGCGGCATCCAGTTTGGACGAAGCAGCCGACTCGCTGAGCTGCAGAGCCACGATGTGCTGGTGCAGCTTCGCTATCAGGGCCTTCTCATCTGACTGAGACTGAGGGGGAGAGAGGACACTGTAAAAACACGCTTGATTGTTGTGCTTTAATTTATGTCTTAATGTGTGTAAATGTGTCGAATAAAATATACATATTTTAATACATTTATTACATATATATTTGTATTTTTGTATTCGAGATTGTGGGAAACGGCATTTTGATCTCTCTGTCTCTACACACAAACTGAAAGATTGACAATAAAGTTGACTTTGAAAACAGTTTCACCTGTCTCCCTGATTTAAGCATGGGTCTAAATTACAACCCATGTTGTCTATGTTTTCGTTCATAAATGTCAATATAGTTTTGCATTGTCCAACAGAGCTATAATATTAGTGTTTTTACATTTGATTTTGCTTTACTTTCATTTTTGTACACAGAGCATCAGAGCTTAAATATTTGAATAAAAACGAATAAAAAAAGTCACAATATAGTTTGCAATTTCTAAAATGCAGAAAGATCCGATACATTCAACAAAAAAGAAGAAAATTAAGGTTAAATGTATTGTTTAGCCGCCGACTCAGGTAGCCCAGCTGTCTTGGTGCTGTTAGACCTGACAGCTGGCTTTGACACTGTGGACCATAGTATCCTGTTGTCACGGCTTGAACAGTCCGCAGGCATCACAGGCTCTGCCCTTGCATGGTTCAGGTCTTACCTGACAGACCGTAGCTTTTTAGTGCAGCTAGGTGCCTTTTCCTCTGCCAAAGCCCCTCTTACCTGTGGGGTCCCCCAAGGCTCAATTCTGGGCCCCATCCTCTTTTTACTGTACATACTGCCCCTAGGTTCAATTCTTACGAAACACAATATTCCCTTCCACTGCTACGCGGACGATGTACAGATCTATCTGCCTCTCAAAGCAAATGTCAACTCACTACAGCAGTTGATGGACTGCTTAACAGATAAAATCCTGGCTGAGCAAAAACTTCCTCACCCTCAATGAGAGCAAGACCGAGGTAATCTTCTTTGGACCCCAACCTCCAGCCTCTCCGGTTGATATTCTGGGCTCCCTAAGTAAAAACATCCTCCCCTCTGTCATGAACCTTGGAGTGACCTTCAATAGCACTTTTAAATTCGACAAGCAGGTCAGCACCGTAGTAAAATCCTGCTTTTTTTAAATAAGACTATTGGCCAAAACCAAGTCGTATTTATCTTTTAAAGACCTGGAAAGGATTATTAACGCCTTTGTGACCTCAAGACTGGACTATTGTAACGCTCTGTATGTGGGTATGGACCAGGCATCAATGAAACGCCTGCAGCTAGTCCAAAACGCAGCTGCACGTCTCCTGACTGGCCACATCACCCCAATACTGGCTTCCAGTCCGGTTCAGAATTGATTTTAAAATCCTTTTATTTATTTTTAAAGCACTAAATGGGTTGGCTCCGGCCTATATAGCTGAACTCCTCCAGCGCTACACCCCAGGCAGAGCCTTAAGATCTGCTGACCAGCTGCTGCTGGTAGTGCCTAAGACTAGGCTCAAAACCCGAGGGCACCGAGCCTTCGCAGCAGCTGGCCCCAGGCTCTGGAACACTCTTCCCCTCCATGTGAGGTCGGCCCAGACTCTAGGGGCTTTTAAATCCACACTGAAGACACACTACTTCTCTCTGGCCTTCTAGTTAGAGTGGGGTCACGACTCCTGACTGTTCCATGTGTTGCTTTATCTGTTGTGATTTATTGTCTTTTATTGTGATGTAATTGTTTAAATTACATGTACAGCACTTTGGCTCGACCAAAATCGTTTTTAAATGTGCTCTACAAATAACATTTGATTTGATTGTTTACAGAAAATGGGAATTATAATACGAAAGTAATCATTCTTTTCAATATCATAATTTATATTTTATTATTCTTAAAAAAATCAAGTTACCTCTTTATCTTATCCTATATAGCAATTGGAATATCCATTACAAATTAAAAATGTTACTATAACTTTTTTTCCCCTGTATTTTATTAAACAAACGCCTAAACATTTTACTGAATCTGTTTGAAATAACAAAACATGACTAACATAAACTCACCTGTTAACTAATAACTGTGAAGAAAGTAAAGTTAACAACCTGATTTGGTGAGTTATCACTCTGCACAGTACCTCAAATCCAAATCCCCTTCACTTTAATTGTGAATCAGACAGTTTAACAGAGTTTATGAGACTAATAAAAGCTCCGAACATAATGAGCAACATTACGATCTAATGTACTGATCAGGAAGAGTTTATGATTAACGATACCATAGAACACCAAAATACCTGGTAGTCCTGTATAATACCTGGTAGTCCTGTATAATACCTGGTAGTCCTGTATAATACCTGGTAGTCCTGTATAATACCTGGTAGTCCTCTTTAATACCTGGTAGTCCTCTTTAATACCTGGTAGTCCTCTTTAATACCTGGTAGTCCTGTATAATACCTGGTAGTCCTCTATAATACCTGGTAGTCCTGTATAATACCTGGTAGTCCTCTTTAATACCTGGTAGTCCTCTTTAATACCTGGTAGTCCTGTATAATACCTGGTAGTCCTCTTTAATACCTGGTAGTCCTCTTTAATACCTGGTAGTCCTGTTTAATACCTGGTAGTCCTCTTTAATACCTGGTAGTCCTGTATAATACCTGATAGTCCTCTTTAATACCTGGTAGTCCTCTTTAATACCTGGTAGTCCTGTATAATACCTGGTAGTCCTCTATAATAGCTGGTAGTCCTATATAATACCTGGTAGTCCTCTTTAATACCTGGTAGTCCTCTATAATACCTGGTAGTCCTGTATAATACCTGGTAGTCCTGTATAATACCTGGTAGTCCTGTATAATACCTGGTAGTCCTGTGTAATACCTGGTAGTCCTGTATAATACCTGGTAGTCCTGTATAATACCTGGTAGTCCTCTTTAATACCTGGTAGTCCTCTATAATACCTGGTAGTCCTCTATAATAGCTGGTAGTCCTGTATAATACCTGGTAGTCTTGTATAATACCTGGTAGTCCTGTATAATACCTGGTAGTCCTGTATAATACCTGGTAGTCCTGTATAATACCTGGTAGTCCTGTATAATACCTGGTAGTCCTCTATAATACCTGGTAGTCCTGTGTAATACCTGGTAGTCCTGTATAATACCTGGTAGTCCTCTTTAATACCTGGTAGTCCTCTATAATACCTGGTAGTCCTCTATAATACCTGGTAGTCCTTCCTATATAATACCTGGTAGTCCTGTATAATACCTGGTAGTCCTCTATAATAGCTGGTAGTCCTGTATAATACCTGGTAGTCCTGTATAATACCTGGTAGTCCTGTATACTATATGGTAGTACTCTATAATACCTGGTAGTCCTGTATAATACCTGGTAGTCCTGTATAATACCTGGTAGTCCTCTATAATACCTGGTAGTCCTGTATACTATCTGGTAGTCCTCTATAATACCTGGTAGTCCTGTATAATACCTGGTAGTCCTCTTTAAAACCTGGTAGTCCTCTATAATACCTGGTAGTCCTCTATAATAGCTGGTAGTCCTGTATAATACCTGGTAGTCTTGTATAATACCTGGTAGTCCTGTATAATACCTGGTAGTCCTGTATAATACCTGGTAGTCCTGTATAATACCTGGTAGTCCTGTATAATACCTGGTAGTCCTCTATAATACCTGGTAGTCCTGTATAATACCTGGTAGTCCTGTATAATACCTGGTAGTCCTCTATAATACCTGGTAGTCCTCTATAATAGCTGGTAGTCCTGTATAATACCTGGTAGTCCTCTATAATAGCTGGTAGTCCTGTATAATACCTGATAGTCCTGTATAATTCCTGGTAGTCCTGTATAATACCTGGTAGTCCTGTATCTGTCTCCTCAAAGCTTCCACTTCCTTCTCTCTGCTCTGCTGTCGGGCCTGAAGAGCAGAGACCTGCATCACAGCCACATCGGACACCTCCTGCAGCCTGGGCAAAAGAAGAGAGAAAAAGAACAGGACATAAACAGGGGTGCACATAACTTTTTTGCCCTGGTTCTCAAAGGAGCACCTGGAGATGTTGATTGGTGCGCATCCTTAAAATGAAATAAACCGGACCTTTAGAGGAACGCATAAAGCAGACCCTTCACGCGATAGCGAGGGGTAGAGCGAGGGATCGCAGATGCTGTCGTGCACGCGGACGGATTAAAACAATTAAACCTAAATAGCTCGCGAATTATACTTTGGCGGCCGTTAATATACCTGGGTGGCCCACCTAAGTAAAGTCTATGTGTGGGAAACCCTGCTATCTTACCAGTTCTTATGCAACTCGCAAATATCTCTCTCTCTCTCTTCTCTCTTTTCTCTCTCTCTTCTCTTTTTTCTCTCTCTCACTCTCAATGTTGGTGCGCAAATGCACCTTTTTTCAAATGATCCGGTGCTCTTTTTTGGCGGGCCTGCGCACCAGTTATGTGCAGCCCTGGACATAAACATTACAATGACAGTGGTGGAAGAGGCGCTCAGATGTTATACTTACTGTACAAAAGTATGGGCATCAAAATATACTTGAGTAACCCAAAGTAAAAGTACTCGTTATTCGTAATGGCCAATTTCAGAATCATATATATATTGATTTACTGGATTAAGATTATGTTGAAAGCTGTTAAAGTGGAACTGTTTGAGTGACTTTGTATTTTGGTGCTGGATATTTTACTCTTTGATTTTATGTCAATGTTTGATTATTAGATTATTTATATTTGATGTTAGCTAACTAAAGCAGCAAGGTAAATATGGTGGAGAAAAAAGTAAATATTGGTTTCCAAAATGTGATGGAATAGCATTAAAGTACCTAAAAAAAGCAACATCATTGAGTAAATGTACTTCATTTAATTTGATGCTAGAATGAGTCTAAATTGTGGACATTATAAGCAATAGCGGGACCAAATTATAAAACAAAAGCAAAGAAAAGCTCATGCAGAACAGAGAAGTGCTTGATTACACAGCTTTGACCTTAAGAAACACATTTGTATTCATATAATTTATTCCCAAAGCCATTAAAGGACAGTGAGTGCAATCTCTAACATGTGTAATATCTTATTTCCAGGTATAGAAATAGTAAAAGGCGTCCCATAGCTTTCAGCAAGAATCATTTTTAATGTCTTGTCTTTGACTCCAAATTAGTGTGAACATATAAAGTATTAAGATATATGAAGCTATGAACTGACAGACGTACTTAGAAACCTCGATGCGGAGCTCCGCCTCGTTCTTCTCCAGCTCTCCAACCCGGGCTCTGTCAGCGTCGCTCGCAGCTTGACTGACGCTGTCGGCCAGCTCGTCTCTCAGCTCGCGCTCCACCCTCTGCGCCTCCACATTCATCTTGGTCAACTGAAGAGAAACAGAGGCAACGTTACGTGATAAGATCTTTTTTATAACGTGATAATGTTGGGGGAAAAGGACCTTAACGGGCAGAGATGGCAAAAGTACACACATCCTTTACTCAAGTAGAAGTACAGATACTCGTGTTTAAACAGACTGGGGTAAAAGTAGAAGTACTGACTAAACTGCTTAAGTAAAAGTAAAGAAGTATGGGCTTCGAAATGTACTTAAGAAGCCTCTTCACTCAGGTGTTTTTCCACAGGCCCTGAAAACTGCAGTCATTAAACCGCTCTTAAAAAAGCATAATCTAGACGCTTCAGTAATGAACAATTACAGGCCCATATCAAACCTACCATTTCTAGGTAAAATCATTGAAAAAGTAGTTTTTCAACAGTTGAGTAATTTCTCGCATTTAAATAACTGTTTCGATGTGTTCCAGTCAGGCTTTCGTCCAAACCACAGCACTGAGACTGCTCTTGTAAAGGTCTTCAATGACATCCACTTAAACACAGACAGTGGCAGAACTTCAGTGTTAGTATTATTAGATCTCAGTGCTGCGTTTGACACTGTTGACCACAGCATATTACTAGACCGACTGGAGAACTGGGTGGGACTTTCGGAAACAGTTCTAAATTGGTTTGAATCCTACTTAAAGGACAGAAACAACTTTGTTTCTATAGGTAAATACACATCTGAGTTGACAAATATGACATGTGGGGTTCCTCAAGGCTCCATCTTGGGGCCTCTTCTCTTTAACATCTACATGCTACCACTGGCTCAGATAATGAAAAACAACAAAATAAGTTACCATAGCTATGCAGATGACACACAAATTTACGTAACCATTTCACCAGGAGACTATGCTCCAATTCAAACACTGAGTAAGTGCATTGAACAAATCAATGACTGGATGTGTCAGAACTTTCTCCAATTAAACAAAGATAAAACTGAGGTAATGGTTTTTGGAGCCAAGTCAGAACATATAAAAGTTAGCGCTGAGCTTCAGTGTGCAATGTTCAAAACAACAGATAAAGCCAGAAATCTAGGTGTAGTCATGGACTCTGACCTGAGTTTCAACAGTCACATTAAAACAGTTACTAAATCAGCCTACTATCACCTAAAGAATATATCTAGGATTAAAAGACTAATGTCACAGCAGGATTTGGAAAAACTGGTCCATGCTTTTATCTTCAGTAGACTCGACTACTGCAATGGTGTCTTCACAGGTCTCACTAAAAAATCTATTAGAAAGCTGCAGCTGATTCAGAACGCTGCTGCTCGAGTCCTCACTAACACTAAGAAAGTGGATCACATCACTCCTGTTCTGAAGTCTTTACACTGGCTTCCTGTGTGTCAAAGAATAGATTTCAAAATACTGCTGCTGGTTTATAAAGCACTGAATGGTTTAGGCCCAAAATACATTTCTGACCTCTCAGGTCTTCAGGGACGGGTCAGCTTTCTGTCCCCAGAGTCAGAACTAAACATGGAGAAGTTCAGTTATTATGCTCCAAATCTCTGGAACAAACTCCCAGAAACCTGAAGGTCCACTGCAACTCTGACTACTTTTAAATCCAGGCTGAAGACTTTTCTTTTTGTCGCTGCTTTTAATTGAAACTTCTGTGTGAACTATTCATATCTTAAACTGCACTGTAACTTTTTATTCATGTATTTTTTATTCATGTATTTTTTCTTTTAATGTTTCTTTTATTATCTTTTCTTTTTAATTACCATTTTTAAATGCCTTTGTCTGAATGTCTTTCATTTTTGTAAAGCACCTTGAATTGCCTTGTGTTGAAAGGTGCTATATAAATAAACTTGCCTTGCCTTAAGTAAAAAGTACCCATAACTAGCAGCTGTTTTAAAGAGTGCCTGACCTCCCTTTATATTAACAGAACAATAATGTCATTGTTAGCTAATGAATGTTTCCATGCTGAACAACGGCAACATGACAACGTTTTCATTGGTCCCTCTTCTTTAGAGAAGACCAGGAAATGATGGATACACGGATCGTGTTCAAATCAATAGGCACGCAATGACTCCACTACTTCCCATCTCTGTTAACTGGTGAGAATCTGGCTCAGATTGTGTTCGATTGCCGTTTCTGGGGTTATGAACATGCTACATGTCGTTTTCTTTGGCCACATACCTCTGCAAACTTGGACTCCAGTTCTGAATTGCGTTCCTCCACTTGCTTCAGGGACTTTCTCATGTGTTCGTACATTTTGTGTGCGTGCTCGGCTCTCTGCCTCTCGTTCAGCTCCTTCATCTCCAGAGTGGTGATGCGCCGGGCGGCTGACACCATCTCTTTGTTGGCAAACGCCTTGTCAGCCTTATCCATGCTCGTTTCACCTCCTGGCATTAGGGTGAAAACTCAATTAAGGGTGATAATCTGATTTAAGGTTGGAATCCACAAACTCCCAAACCCTAACCCTACAAACTAGATTAACTCTCTGGTATTAAGTTTAGCATAAAACGATAATATATGGATTTCACACACATTTCCTCTCTCTTTGGGACTATTTTTTGCCAGATGTCCTGGTTTGAACTAGGTTGAACCCGGGTTAAAACAAATCTATGGCCATACAAATTATTATATTGGGATCCACAAACAAGATTAACTCTCAGGTTAAATCATGGTTTTAAGTATTGTATAAAAAGATATATTATTGATATGGATTTCACACACATTTCCTCTCTCTTTGGGACTATTTTTGCCAGATGTCCTGGTTTGAACTAGGTTAAACCCTTGAACTAGGTTAAACCCAGGTTAAAACAAATCTATGACCATAACTATTCTTATATTGGTATTGACAAACAAGATTAACTCTCAGGTTATATCATCGGTTAAGGTTTTGTATAAAAGCGATACAATTTGGATTTAACTGAAATGGTTTCATACTAAATTCCTCTCTGTTTGGGAATATATTTTTGCCAGTCCTGGTTTGAACTAGGTTAAGCCCAGGTTAAAATGAATAAATGGCCATACCAATTATTATATTAGTATCCATAAACAAGATAAACTGTCAGGTTAAATCATCGGTTAAGATTTTGCATAAAAGCGATAACATTTGGATTTAACTGAAATGGTTTCATACTAATTTCCTCTCTCTTTTGGGTCTATTTTATTGCCAGCCCAGATGTCCAAATATATGGCCATACCAACTCTAAGCAGATCATTTTTCCAAATGTAGGTCTTTTGATTGTAGTTTTGGCCAACATTTATACTAATCAGTGACAATAATCTCATAAAAATGTTGTTTATTGAGACAGGCATGTGTCGACACTGCTAGCCATAGATTACATCATATGAAGCAATCAGAATAAGGGTAGCAGGTAAAGTGTGATAATCATCTACTTTATGATAGTATCGTGAAGACTTCCCACAATGCAGAGACGTAAACAACTGCACCTTAGCTCGAGGCTTTAGTTAAATTGAGTTATTATAATAAATATCGTTCCTTAAACCGTGTCCTTTCCACGTTCCATGACAGAACAAAAGAAAAAATCACATTAGGTCAGATCTAAAAAAAGGTCATATACTATAAGGCCGTAATCCTTTTTCGTATAACATTTTAATTTTTACGTTCTTAAACTTAACTTGAGTATTTTCCATTTTAAGCTACTTTCTACTTCATCTACACTACAATAACACCCTAACTACTTACTTAATATAATGATTTATGATGTATTATTTTGGATTAAGATACCCAGCAGTGAACAAAGCTAACCCTGCTGTTAATTTAAAAGGGTGAACACTAATTATAATCCTGTGAATTTATACACATTATTCAGAAACATTTACTTTTTCAGTGTTGATACCTAAATGTATTTTCAGGCCTATAATATAATATAATAATATTTAAATAATAATATATAAAATAAGAATGACTTTTAGTTGTTACAGAGTAATTGTACACTTTTTTGTAATTGGCCACATGTTCTAAAAGTGATATTTTTCTCAGAGTTCTGACTTTAATCTCAATTTCACTTTTGGTCAGATCTTTAAAAAATGTCACATGGCCGTAATCCTCTTCCATTAAAGGCAGGGTAGGTAAGAACGGAGAAACCAGCTTGAGTGCGCTAGAATTTGAAAATACACAGCCGGAAGAAATCTGCCACTTCCTTACAGAGGCCCTCCTCCAACACACACGAACGCACACATGACCAATGAGGGCACGAGATAAGTTTGTGCCCAGATGGAAGGCTGACAGGCAGGTAGGCCATCCAGTTACTTTAGCCGGGCCGGCTCAGATGATTGGTCGTGCTTTTTACAGCATTACGGCTTCCACAGATGATATTTTGTTATGGATTTATTGTCAAAGCATTTAATCGGGATGTTAAGAGCATTCCATGGAATATAACAAAAAGTGTTTCTGAAGTGAATTACCTACCCCACCTTTAAGATCTGAGTACTGCTTCCACCTCTCTCCATTGTTTACCTGTTGTATTGACATTGTCCCATGCTTGTTCTAAAGTGTTCAGTTTCTCCTTCGTGATCTCCAGTTCTTTGTTCATGGCTGAGATCTGCTCCCGAAAAGACTCATTCTCACCCTGAGAGAAAAACAATACTGCATGTTAAGTCCATGCTAACAGTTAAAGGTCTCCTATTATACTGTTTTTCATCAATATATTACAGGTCTCAGATATAAACAACACATGTCTCTGAAGGGTTTGGCTCCAAACACCAAACAGATCATTGCAGCATTACCCATAATCCCCTCTGTTTCAGCCCTGTTTCCAAAGTGCTGATTCTCTGTCTGTTACTTTAGATGAAAATAAGGAGCCCCTCCCCACGCCCCTCTGAGAGACATTTGGTTACAAAGAACACAATGGTGCTCTAGGAGGAGATTCAGGTGATAAGGGGGGGGGGGGTTACCTTGGTTGCTGATTGGCTAATGGTTACACAAGCCAAACAATCGTCATGACATCATAAAGTGTCCAAAATCTGATCAGCTCATTTTCAGACAGGTTTTTATAGAAATGGATCAAAAAGAGAGAGAATCTTTGTTCCTGAAACTTTCAGAGTCTCTTTCCACAGAGGGGACACATGTTGATGTAGAAGAGACATGAAGAAGAGGGGACACATGTTGATGTAGAAGAGACATGAAGAAGAGGGGACACATGTTGATGTAGAAGAGACATGAAGAAGAGGGGACACATGTTGATGTAGAAGAGACATGAAGAAGAGGGGACACATGTTGATGTAGAAGAGACATGAAGAAGAGGGGACACATGTTGATGTAGAAGAGGGGACACATGTTGATGAAGAAGAGGGGACACATGTTGATGTAGAAGAGGGGACACATGTTGATGTAGAAGAGACATGAAGAAGAGGGGACACATGTTGATGAAGAAGAGACATGGAGAAGTGGCTTTTGCACAATAGGTGACCTTTAACAATAAAAAGGTGCATTTCTGGAGGTGTAGAGAATGTTTGAGTGTTTTATTACCTGCAAATGTTCCAGGTTGCTGGTTCTCTGAATGAGACGGCTGTCTCTCTGCAGCACGTCTCTGTATTTGACCGTTAGCTCCGTGTACTGCTTGTTGGCCTTCTCCAGCTCTGATGAGAGCACACTGTCATCCAAGGCCTTTTGTAACGCTGCTATCTTATAAGCAGCCATTTCCTGAAAATAAAACAGAAGAGCTGTTAAAGATGATTGTACGGCGTTAATAACATAAATAATATGACTTTTAGTTGGGAATTTTAAAGGGAGACAGTATAGGTTATCGCATCAATACATGATCATTACTAATAGATATCCCCATGAAACTTCTGCAGTTGTTTACTTACATTAAAACAAATTATTGTTGTATTACATGTTTTCTGAAATTTGACGTTTGAATATGCAAATAAGGCTTCCTATTTTTATATATTTTCTCATTCGCATTCATTTTCGGGACAGAAATCTGAACATTTGATGAAAGGGTTTCACAGAGGGAATTTGGGATATCTATGTTTTAATACTACATAAATCAGTATACTGTCAACTGCCATAAAAACTCCATGATTTAGGAAGAAAATGTTCAATAAATCAGGCAATGAATGATATATGAACAAGTACTACACACTATTAGCTTCTAAGCGTCTTTGAGATTCTAGAAAAGCGCTATACAAGTATCATGTATTATTATTATTAAAGTGGCTAATCATGAGAACAATGTCACTGTGAGAAAACAGCCTTTAAAGATCTGTAGTCATATATTTTGACATCTTGACCTAATATACTGTATATTAACACGACTCTTTCCTTATTGCTATATGCTGGTTTATTTCTATTTCTATTTTGAGATGTTTCTATTTTAGAATTCTTTATTTCTACTCTTTGAATGTGTTATTATGTGCAATGCATGCCTTGTTTTGTTTTATGCTGCTGCAACAAAAACATTTCCCAAATTGGGATTATAAAGTACATATTATCTTATCCTATCTACTGATTACTTCCATTAAGACAAGATTTGTTCTTAGTTTTCTGAAGACACATGTAAAATATCTAAAAGACACATCTAATGCTAACTTATGTTGAATTTAAAAGATATCCACCGATCAAATGGACAGTGCACTAGAATAAGACACCAACGTTTCAGGTGTTTTCTTTTAACTGGTATGGGAGAAGACACATTATGAAAGGATAATAGCCCTATCGCTCATATTTGACCAGTGCATGGAAAAACAATCTTTCTCCCGTTGTGTCTCGCCAAATACATTATAGTATTTGGCAAACTGGGTGAAATTCTCATATTCTGGTCCATGTTTGCCATAATATCTTCATATATCTTAATACTTTATGTGTTCACACTAGTTTGGAGTCAAAGACAAGACATTACAAATGATTCCTGCTGAAATCTTTGAAAGCTGTTGGACGCCTTTTACTTTTTCTACCCTGGAAATAAGATATTACAAATGGTTTTGCTACATCTGGTCAGAGATGGCAAAAGTACACACATCCTTTCCTCAAGTAGAAGTACAGATACGCGTGTTAAAACTACTCTGGTAAAGTAGAAGTACTGACTAAACTTCTTTACTCAAGTAAAAGTAAAGAAGTTGCTATTTTTATTATATGTAAACAATATTTGTAATCAGATGCAATTTTCTACCTATCATATGTATGCTGATGACACTATTGTATACTCATGTGCTCCTTCTCATGTGCTCCTTTGGCCGTTTCCAATTTAAAATCTGATTGGATCACGCTGCAGCATGCGCTTCTTGATTCCAAACTGCTTTTGAACGGTAAGAAAACCAAAGCAATGCTTTTTGCTCCCAAGTCAGCGTCCTCTTGCCTCTCCATTGACACCCTTGATGGCGTCTCTGTTGAGTTTGTCGATATCTACAAATATCTGAGCTTTTGGTTGGACAGAAATCTAAACTTCAAACACCATATTAAAGTTCTAACTAAGAAATTGAAATTCACTCTTGGCTTCCTTTACAGACTTAAATGTTGTTTTTCAAGTTCTTCCCGTAAAAGATTGGTCTCTGGCGTATTCCTGTCCCAGCTGCACTACGGTGATACAATCTATAGATTTGCCTGTCCCACTGTTTTGACCAAACTTGACCCACTCGACCATGCTGCACTGCGATATATATCAAATGCACCCGATAGGACTCATCATTGCACACTGTATAGCCTAACTGGATGGTCCTCACTTACTATGCGTAGGATGCAGCATTGGTTTTTATTCATGTATGAAGCCATTTTAGGAAAGCTTCCACTCTACATATGTGCCAGATCTGCTCCAGTTTGTGACTCTCACAACCTCAGATCCAGTGCCTGGATACGGGTCCAGGTTCCTGCTGTGCGGACTGAGGCTGGAAAAAGGAGTCTTTTTTATTATGGTCCTTGGTCTTGGAATGACCTTCAATCACGCCTCAAACTGAGGGCACTTGTCCCTATAGCCTGTATTAAATTGAAGGTGTCTGAAGTCCTTACCACCAGCTGCTCTTGCAGTAATAAGTAGTACCTTTCTTACTGTCCTAAATGTGCACAATGTAGTGACTGCTTTTCGTCTTTTTGTTTACTTAGTTGTGTTCTCTGTATTTTATGTTTGTGTTGTTATGTGTAACGTTGCTGCCTTCTTGGCCAGGTCAGCATTGTAAATTAGATTTGATCTCAATGCTTTTTATCTGGTTAAATACTTTTTTCTTTTCTTTTTTAAAGTACCCATAACTCCCAGCTGTTTTAAAGAGTACCTGACCTCCCTTTATATTAATAGAACAATAATGTCATTGTTAGCTAATGAATGTTTCCATGCTGAACAACGGCAACATGACAACGTTTCCATTGGTCCCTCTTCTTTAGAGAAGACCAGGAAATGATGGATACACGGATCGTGTTCAAATCAATAGGCACGCAATGACTCTAAAGAATAATGATCACGCATCAAACACACATTCAGACTAAAGGAACCAGCTGTTTGGAAAATGAGAGAAGTAGAAAGTACAGGTATTTGAGTTCAACATGTAAGAAGTAGAAAGTACAGGTATTTGGGTTCAACATGTAAGAAGTAGAAAGTACAGGTATTTGAGTTCAATATGTAAGAAGTAGAAAGTACAGGTATTTGGGTTCAACATGTAAGAAGTAGAAAGTACAAGTATTTGTGTTCAACATGTAAGAAGTAGAAAGTACAGGTATTTGTGTTCAACATGTAAGAAGTAGAAAGTACAGGTATTTGGGTTCAACATGTAAGAAGTAGAAAGTACAGGTATTTGTGTTCAACATGTAAGAAGTAGAAAGTACAGGTATTTGAGTTCAACATGTAAGAAGTAGAAAGTACAGGTATTTGAGTTCAACATGTAAGAAGTAGAAAGTACAGGTATTTGTGTTCAACATGTAACAAGTAGAAAGTACAGGTATTTGTGTTCAACATGTAAGAAGTAGAAAGTACAGGTACTTGAGTTCAACATGTAAGAAGTAGAAAGTACAGGTATTTGTGTTCAACATGTAAGAAGTAGAAAGTACAGGTATTTGGGTTCAACATGTAAGAAGTAGAAAGTACAGGTATTTGTGTTCAACATGTAAGAAGTAGAAAGTACAGGTATTTGTGTTCAACATGTAAGAAGTAGAAAGTACAGGTATTTGTGTTCAACATGTAAGAAGTAGAAAGTACAGGTATTTGTGTTCAACATGTAAGAAGTAGAAAGTTCAGGTATTTGGGTTCAACATGTAAGAAGTAAAAGTCAAAAGTCGTCAGAAAAATAAGGAGTGGATTAAAGTACCGATACCACAAAAATGTACTTAAGTACAGTAACAAAGTATTTGTACTCTGGTGGGATAAAACGTTTTTTTCTGTACCTTGTATCTCTGCAGGTAGCCCATCCTCTGGGTGACGGAGGCCTGCATGTTGCTGCTGTCGTCCTTCATCTTGCCGTTCTCCTTGCGAAGGTGCTGCTCTTGCTCCAGCAGCGTGGTGTAGCGCCTCGTTAGCTTCTTCTCGTTAACCTTCAGCAGCGTGGACCTTCGCAAAGCTTCGCTCAACTGTCTCCTGATTTCCTCTGGGTCCTTTTGAAGGGTGTCTAGCAGCTCCTGACGGGTGAAATTAAGGGTTTTTTGGGGGGGGGAACACAGCAGTGAAGCAAAGAGGATAATGGATTACAGTTTGACATCAAAGCAGCATTTTATTACTATACTGGAAAAATAAGACATTTCAGTGCTTTTTCCTGCATTTTTGTTCAAGTCAAATGTCTCTCATGTCATGTGACCCAAAGACTGGGAATCAAAGCATCACTACACTGCAAATTCCACTGCTTTATCTATTTGACATTCATTAAACAATTAAATTGACTATTAAAATGTAGCTGTTTTTATTCACTCAAATAAACGCAGCATTGTATCGTTACTCTGACCATAAGACACACCTTTTTTTAAATTAGTTTTTAATATAAATATCTTTATTAAAAATACTGTCTTTCTTTTCAATAGCTTTCAAGTCAACTCTAAATCAATGCAGCATTGTATTACAACACAAACCTCTTTTGGTTGAATGTAAGTGTTTTTCTATTTAATACACATTTCATTATTATTATTATTCGGCTATTTTAGTCTTCTCAATTTCCTCCAAAACATCTGACCGAATGATTCAAAAATCAGTGGGACATTGTATTAATAATAAGTCACACCTATTTTAATTAGATTTTATTGCTATTAATATAAATACTTAAATTAAAATTCAGCACTTTTTGTTGATGAAAGACTAATTTCTTTTCGAAAGCGTAATGTGAAACAATGATTTAAAATCAATGAGGCACAGACACGGTGTTATCATTTAAAAAACCACCGACACGTGTGTAATCTTATCCCAACATGTGCAAATACCAACGGTTGAAAGCTCTATCTTTCTCCTTCTCACACACTCTCTAGGGACTCGTTCATATTTTAGACTACAAGACAGAGTGAGTAGCCCCTCGGGTGTGTTTCACATTTATTAAGTGAGGGGTAGAAGTCGGACTGACATGCAGCAACAGGGATATAAAACATCTAGATAACATCTAGTCCCATACCGCAAGTTCTTCTGATAATTACCCATCTTTGAACATCGGGGTATATGTGTGTTTGCGTGGGTTAATGAGAGGCAAAGCGCTTGGGGAAAGTCTGCTAGAAAAATGCAACCCATCTTAGTCACTTTTCCTCGTCTGGCTTACGTTGAATTCCTGGATTTTAACAGCGTCCACCTGCTTCTGCTCCTCCAGCCTGTTCTTCCTCTCTGCAAAGGTTTCTTTCTCCTTTTGCCACTCCGTCTTTTCACTGATCAAAAACACAAAAGAATATTAGATTTTGCACTTACACAGAGAGTGAGAAAGTGTCCTGTTAACCAACCTGAGGTACTCTTTATAGTGGAGTCCAAACTAACTTAAAGGTCTCCTATCATGCTATTTTTAGGCAAACATGTCTATGAGGTGTTTTGCTCCAAACACCAAACAGATCATTCTAGCCATGCCTCATATCCCTCTATTTCACTTCCTGTTTCAAAAGTGGTGATTTGAGTATAAAGCTTTTTTTTTTTAAAGTAGGGGTCTGAGCTCATGCGGGACCCGGCATCTACTGTCTAAACTAAATACTGCCGTGATGAAACGCCATATCATGGATTATCAAGGATTCTCTCTGAAACAGTTTGGAGCTCAAAGGCTTTCTCTCTTGCCGGTTATACCACAAGGTGAGTTCCTTTTTACTTCCTGCTTCTTCACACACATGCTCTCCAGTACAGGTTAGCTCTGAGTGTTAGCGATGCTAATGTAAACCCCGACCATATTACGTCCAAAACAGTCGGGCATTGTTTCTGATAGCAACGTTTCTGATTGGGCCGTGGGTCCACATTTCAGATATTACGTCATATCGGACGCAAATCTGGATCAGCTCCGTTGTTCCCCGTTTTTAGAGATTTGGGTACGGAGGAAAAGAGAGAGGGTTTTATTTTCTGACGCTGCGTGAGTTCCCCGACACACCGGGGACACATTGATGTATAAAAGACATCAACAAGTGCATATTGCATTTTGCATGATAGGTCCCCTTTAAACAAGAGAGAAAGTTTCCTGTTAACCAACCTGAGGTATTCTTTATAGAGGAGTCCCTGTTGGTGGCTGATGACGGAAAACTTCTCCTTGTATTCCTCCAGCGTTCCTGTGAGTTTCTCCAGGGTTTCCTCCTTGTTTTTGAGCTCCTAATTAATCACATAAATGTTTCATTTATAGAACACACATATTGTTGATTTACAGCTTTCCCCTTCAGAGGTCAGTGGGACTGACCTGAAGGAGTCGAACAGCGTACTCGTTCAGAGGACTAATGACCTCAGTGCTGCCGGGATCCAGGGCCGCGGGGAGGGTCAGGGGTCGGAGGTCAGCCCCCTCACCGCCTGACCTCCTCAACAACTGCACCTCTCCTTCCAGACGGCTCACCTGACAAGCACAGAGCAAGACAATGAAGGTTCAGCAATATATCTAATATGTATATAGGACCCTGTTGGGAAAATACTGACCCTAACCCTAACCCTGCTGAATGTACTCAATATTACACATGATAACAAAGGTATCCCAACTGTAGCTGTGTACATGACAGGATGTATGATTAAGAGCATCAGGACTGTTTGAGGCATATGATAGCTATGTGATTAACATGATGATTCAGCCTCTATGGAGAGAGACATATGACAAGCATGATCATTTTTCTTTTTGTATTTCTTTTAATATAGTATATTTTAATATTGTTTTAATATTGTCTGCTTATCTGTATTATTGTGTTGCATTGTTGGAGAAGCCTGTGACCTAAGATTTTCAACGACATAATTACTCTGTAGCTATGTTAGTTTGACAATAAAGAACCTTGACATGGAGCTAATCTGAAGTAAACATTGAAGACTGCTTTCTATTCCTCCATCTTGTGACTGTGTGACTCCCTCTCTTGGATATCAGCATGTGAAGGACACTGTTCAGGAACTAGTTGATGCTCTGTATGTGATGACTCCTTCCATTCTGGAGAGGATCACAGATACGTGGATCCTGAGATTGAAGCTCAAGCCGGTGACGAGGGATTATTAACATTTTTGAGATTTTGAGAAAAAGTCATAATTCTTAGATTCTTTGAAAAAAAAGTCATAATTTTTGAGAAAAAGTCATAATTTTTTTTATTTTGAGAAAAAAAAGTCAGGATTTTGAGAAAAAGTATTTTTTTTTTAAAAAGTCAGGATTTTTGAGAAAAAGTCAGAATTTTGAAATGTTGAGAAAAAGTAATTTTTTTTTTAAAAAGTCAGGATTTTGAGAAAAAGTCAGAATTTTTTTTATTTTGAGAAAAAAAAGTCAGGATTTTGAGAAAAAGTATTTTTTTTTTTAAAAAGTCAGGATTTTTGAGAAAAAGTCAGAATTTTGAAATGTTGAGAAAAAGTAATTTTTTTTTTAAAAAGTCAGGATTTTGAGAAAAAGTCAGAATTTTTGGATTTTGAGGAAAAAAACTCATATTTTTGAGGGAAAAGTCAGAATTTTGAAATGTTGAGAAAAAGTCATTTTTTTTTGCAAAAGTCAGATTTTTGGACAAAAAGTCAACATTTTTAGAAAAAGTCAGAATTTTCAAAAAAAAGTCAGATTTTTCCGATTTAGAGAGAAACTCAGTATTTTGTAGATGGCAGGATGTATGATTTCCTACAAGAACCGACATTCCTCCATCTTGTGACCGTGTAACTCCCTCTCTTGGATATCAGCATGTGAAGGACACTGTTCAGGAACTAGTTGATGCTCTGTATGTGATGACTACTTCCATTCTGGAGAGGATCACAGATACGTGGATCCTGAGGTTGAAGCTCAAGCCGGGGACAAATTAGATTTTTCTAACAGATCCATATATATATATATATATGTTCAATTGAATTAGTTTCTTATTTTAAATGTACTTAATTGTACATCGTTTTAGTTGTATCTTTAATTGTATTCATCTCTAATCTGTGCTGTCCTGTTTTTCATTCTCACCCTGTTGCTGTCAAACTACTGAAGGGATTAATAAAGATGCATCTTATCTTAACTTCAGTGTGACTACAAATGCCATCAAATTGTTCCTCAGTTGACTTCTGAACAGGATCAATATAAATGCATAAGAATGAGTCTGTTTTCTGTAAAGGAACTAAAGGCATCATAGGAAGATCTTTATCAGCTTTACTCTGGAACCAGGGTCTATCTAACAAAGCTCATTTGAAACAGATACAACAAATAAACAGATTCATAGAGAGCACACCGAAACAAATGGAAACATATAAACAACAAAGTGCTGTAACAGAATGAAAGTGGAGGACTGGGAGATGAGTTATGAGATCTGCCTTTAGAGAAATGATTCAAAACGAAACAAGGCTGTCTTCTTGAAGAACAAATCCAAGAAGCATGTTCCTGTGTGTCCTGAGGGAGCCATCCTTCATCCGGTTGAATGTGAACACAAGCTGAAAAGTTGACACACATGTTTGTTTACATAGGCGGCGCGTGAGGCTCAGGTTTGGGAAGGCTAAATAACTTTTGTTACCTGACGCTGCCCGCCTCCGGCGTCTATAGAAAAGAGATCAACTCAGTGTGCGGAGTTTAAATCTCTCAAGTCATTTTACAGGATAAAGGAAATACAGTTTAAACTGCCCTATGCAGAGAAGACGCCGACGTGTCGCACTTATCATTCATATCACATCATCAATCAGATCATCGATCATATAATATCACAATATATTTCCTTATCTGAGTCAGCTGAGCCGTATCTGGCTGTGCAACACTCACAGTGTCACATACTGTATGCAGAAGTATTATTTTAAGCAACACATTAAGTTGACGAAACACTCAAATGTAATTAAAGTCAGATCCACTCGTGTCTTAGACGGGGCAGTGATATCATAAAACTGTTGTACGCTTTCAAACACTCGGTAGGCCTAGTTATTTTTTAACCAGTTGTTCTGTATTCTCCTTGTAGCAGCTCTGTGGCTTGTATCCTGGATTATATGTTTAAGTCATGGATGTTTAAAGTTCATATTTGTCTAATATTAGTTTACTTTTCATGAATGAAGTATGACGCTGCGCTGTCGGTACACTTGTCCCTGTTTGTGATTGGTCAAATGTTGCTAACCCCGCCCCTTTCCCGTGAACGCGCTCGCAGCTGGAGAGAAACCCCGGCTTGATTTACCGAGTTGATAACCAGCGCCGTAGGACCGCTTAGCGAGATCTCCTTTGTTGTTGTTAGTTAGTTTGCTACTCAAACATATCCAGGGTCTGTTGAACTGGCTTCGTAGCACAGGGCACAGGTGGCTGCATAGCAGCGCTAATGTCAAAGACACAAACATTATATTTTTATTTTACCAGGATGCAGTGACACAAATATTTGGGAAGGCTTAGCCTTCCTTAGCCTACAGCACCCGCCGCCCCTGTTTGTTTATCTCCTTTCTTGCACGAGCAGCACATGTTGAAAAGGAGAGGATCATTTTTGTTGGAGGAAATGTTCCAGTCGTGCTAATTACTTACAGACACATGAAGAATTTCAGGCATCGCCGCAATTCTCCATAAACCTGTCTCACGATGTAAATGTGTCTTGTTAACTACAGTCATATAAATATATGTATTGCGGTGATTGGAAATAACAGTTACGACACACAGCTGTAAATATTGTGAGTTTACCTTAATAAAAAAATGGTTTATTATCCTCCTGACTTTGAACAAACTCTGATGATTAATGTTCGAATGTGAGGCTGGAGAAAACGGACCAAGTGGAAAAAAAGTGGAATATACTGCTTTGTTTTCTGCCAAATGAAGGAATATAGACGCCATTAAAATCAATCCATCCATCTTCTCCCTCTTATCCGTGGTCGGGTTGCGGGGGTAGCAGTTCCAGCAGAGAGCCCTAAACTTTCTTTTCCCTGGCGACATCAACCAGCTCTGACTGGGGGATCCCAAGGCGCTCCCAGACCAGCGAAGAGATATAATCCCTCCACCTGGTCCTAGGTCTACCCCTTGGTCTCTTCCCAGCTGGACGTGCCTGGAACACCTCCCTAGGGAGGCGCCCAGGTGGCATCCTAACTAGGTGCCCGAACCACCTCAACTGGCTCCTTTCGACGCGAAGGAGGAGCGGCTCAACTCCGAGTCCCTCCCTGATGACCGAACTTCTCACCTTATCCCTAAGGGAGACACCAGCCACCCTGCGGAGAAAACCCATCTCAGCCGCTTGTATCCGCAATCTCGTTCTTTCGGTCATGACCCATCCTTCATGACCATAGGTGAGGGTAGGAACGAAAATGGCCCGGTAGACAGAGAGCTTTGCCTTCTGGCTCAGCTCCCTTTTCGTCACAACGGTGCGGTAAAGCGACTGCAGTACCGCTCCCGCTGCTCCGATTCTCCGGCCCATCTCACGCTCCATTGTTCCCTCACTCGAGAACAAGACCCCGAGATACTTGAACTCCTTCACTTGGGGTAAGGACTCATTCCCTACTTGGCGTGGACAGTCCATCGGTTTCCTGCTGAGAACCATGGCCTCAGATTTGGAGGTGCTGATCCTCATCCCAGCCGCTTCTAAAATCAATGTCCCTCTAAAATGTCATCAGTTAATTGTTTTATTCTATTAGACATGTGTGTCGAATTATCATATTAAGGGAAATGTAATCTTGTCAAAAATGTGTTTTCTGAGGTCAGAGTGACCTGGATTAACAAATTCTAAATCCTTCATACAGACGTTTGACCCAAATCTTAAGAAATTCCCACAATTCATGTCCTGAGATTTTGCAGTTACACAATGTGAGGGATGTTAGTTATTACAGAGTTTTATTATTTTATCAATTTGTGGGAAATTGTCCAGGTTAGCGAGTAAATTCCTGAGTTATGGCCAAACACATGTTTTGTAAGGACAAAGACTTTGACTTTAAAGGGCCCATATCATGCTTTTCTGGTTATCCCCCGTCCCCTTGTGTTATGAAGGTTTTTCTGCATGTAAACGGTCTGCAGAGTCAAAAACCCTCAAAGTACACCCTGTAGGGAGTAAAACTCTAACACAGAAAATACCTGTCTGTGCTGCCCCAGAACGCCTCGTTGGAGATGTCTCTTTTTCCATTGTTTTCTTCCTGGGTATGGTGACGTGCCCATACCCAAATGGACCCACCCGTGGAGCTCCTCACACACTCTCTCTGCGGCGAAACTGTGACGTGCTGGGGGGGGGGTGCTAGTGGAGCCTCGCAGATGGGGGTGCTGCAGCCCCCTCAGCACCCCCCCCCCCCCTTCCCGCGTCTATTCGCGATGTCTCACTGTCTCGCAGACCCCACGCAGCAAGCAGGAAGTAAATCCAGCTCACACTGTCCACTCCAGCAGCGAGCCGCGCAACGTCCCGCCAACACGGCACCCAGACCCCACGCAGCATTCTCATCTGTTTGTCATTAATGATGTCATTTCCTGGTTGCTAACAAACGCCATTCTAACACATAATCACTGATGTTCCGCTGTAACGGTGGTGGACTCATCAGATCAGAGTGGGCGAGCTGACCAATCAGAGCACAGTGGGCTCATAGGGAGGGGGGGGGGCAGGAGCTCCAACAAGGCGTGTAGGACAGAGAGTGAATACACATACTACACAGAGATGCTGTGAGAAACCAATGTGAGTTTGGAAATGTGCACGATATAAATCTATTTTAGTAGACCCAAAAAATTGAATTATGTTCAGTATAAATGGCCATGACATGGGACCTTTAAAACATACAATTGGAATCATTTTTATTTATGTAGAGAGGACATTTTTCCCAAATCTGAAGAAACTCCCACAATGTATTTCGTGAGATTTGGCAGTTCACATGAATGGGATGTGTTCAACCCCAAAAATGCTCGAGTCCACAGGACATTTGTGTCAAATTTTAAGGAATTCACCTTAAGGCCCTCCTCAGATATTGCATTTTGCTTCCAAAAGGATAACATTGAAAACTTCAGCCAAGCTGCAGTTTAAGTTTCAGTGAGTTCTCGTATTATGGCCAGAAAACGTGTCTTATGAGGAGACAGAGACCGTGACCACACATTTCTAAATCATTCATCTGGTGGATGACTCAAATCTGAAGCAACTCCAACATTGCTTTGATAGAGATTTTGTGTTCTCAAGGATGGGATGGATGTTAAGTTACGATTACTTTGACCCTTGAACCCCACAATCGAATCAGTTCATACTCGAGTCTACTCAACGTTTGTGCCAAATTTCAAGAAATTCACTCGAGTGGTTACTGGGATATCTTATTTTCCTCCTAAAGCATTAGATAGATAAATTCAAGAGTCACGATTACATTTGGAATCCCTACCGAACAATGGTACGTTAATGTCTAAACAAAATGTCATTGTTTCATCCTATAGCACATTTGTGTGAATTGTCATAATTAACAACCGATTGTTTAAGTTATCGCCAAATACGTGTTTTGTGAGGACAAAGCCACCATGATCAGCAAGCTCTAATCTTCATCCAGTTTACATTTGATCCGAATCTGAAGCAATTCCCACAATGCAATTCCTGAGATGTTGTGTTTGCACGAATGGGATCGATGTAAATTAACAAAGACTTTGATCCCCAGAATCTAATCGGTTTATACTTCAGTCTACTGGAGATTTGTGCCAAATGTTAAGAAATTCCCTCGAGTCTTACCTTGGATATCACATTTCCCCTCTGGAAGGATTAGATAGAGAATTCATGGATCAGGATTAACATTTGAAACCCAGTTGTACGCCTCGTCGGACCAAAATGTCATCACTTAAATGTTTTTTCCGAGAGACATTTGGGGTAAATTGTCCTAGTAAGCAAGTTAATTTGTGATTTATGGCCCAATACGTCTTTTGTCAGGACAGAGTGACCTTTACCAAACAATTCTAACAATTCTTCCAGTAGACGTTTACCCAAATCTTAAGAATTCCCACAATGCATGTCCTGAGACTTTTGCGTTTACACGAATGGGATGGAGGCCAAATCTAATCAGTTCATGCTCGAGTGCACTGGAAGATTGTGCCAAATTCTAAGAAATTCCCTTAACGGGTTCCAGAAGTATTAGATAGAAAAGTTCATGCCTCAGCCAACAAGTCGAGTTACAGTTTACCTTAAGCACCTAACAAAATGTCAGAGTTTTATCCTACAAGACATTTCTGCATACTGTCAGAATGAACAGGCGAATGATTAGGTAATAGCCAAAGCCGTGTTTTCTGAGGACACATCTACCTTGACATTTGAACACAACATTGTTATCAGTTCATTCTTGAGACCAATTGAGCGTTTGTGCCAAATTTGATAGAAATTACCTCGAGGCATTCCTGAGATATCGCGTTCATGAGAACGGCACGGATGGATAATCATACAGAACAAAACAACCAACATGTTGTTTGTCATTATAAGTCAACAGCATCCCATTTTAGCTTGACATATCAAAATATTGTGTACCTTTTCTTTGGCTCCGGCGAGCTGACTGAAATTGCTGGTTGCTTCTTCCCGGGCCAACTTCAACTCCTGCCTCAGTTCTTCATTTCTCCCCAACAGCTGCTGGATTTGGGACTCAGACTGCCCAATCATGTTGCTGCCATCTATAACCTGAGATATGAGGGGCGAGCACAGTCAAAACAAACCAGAGATGGCAAAAGTACACACATCCTTTACTCAAGTAGAAGTACAGATAATCGTGTTCAAAAATACTCTGGTAAAAGTAGAAGTACTGACTAAACTTCTTTACTCAAAAGTAAAGAGGCTTTGAAATGTACTTCAGTAAAAAGTCCCCATAGCTAGCAGCTGTTTTAAAGAGTACTTGACCTCCCTTTATATTAATAGAACAATAATGTCATTGTTAGCTAATGAATGTTTCCATGCTGAACAACGGCAACATGACAACGTTTCCATTGGTCCCTCTTCTTTAGAGAAGACCAGGAAATGATGGATACACGGATCGTGTTCAAATCAATAGGCACGCAATGACTCTAAAGAATAATGATCACGCATCAAACACACATTCAGACTAAAGGAACCAGCTGTTTGGAAAATGAGAGAAGTAGAAAGTACAGGTATTTGTGTTCAACATGTAAGAAGTAGAAAGTACAGGTATTTGAGTTCAACATGTAAGAAGTAGAAAGTACAGGTATTTGAGTTCAACATGTAAGAAGTAGAAAGTACAGGTATTTGAGTTCAACATGTAAGAAGTAGAAAGTACAGGTATTTGTGTTCAACATGTAAGAAGTAGAAAGTACAGGTATTTGAGTTCAATATGTAAGAAGTAGAAAGTACAGGTATTTGTGTTCAACATGTAAGAAGTAGAAAGTACAGGTATTTGAGTTCAACATGTAAGAAGTAGAAAGTACAGGTATTTGAGTTCAACATGTGAGAAGTAGAAAGTACAGGTATTTGGGTTCAACATGTGAGAAGTAGAAAGTACAGGTATTTGGGTTCAACATGTAAGAAGTAGAAAGTACAGGTATTTGTGTTCAACATGTAAGAAGTAGAAAGTACAGGTATTTGTGTTCAACATGTAAGAAGTAGAAAGTACAGGTATTTGTGTTCAACATGTAAGAAGTAGAAAGTACAGGTATTTGGGTTCAACATGTAAGAAGTAGAAAGTACAGGTATTTGTGTTCAACATGTAAGAAGTAGAAAGTACAGGTATTTGTGTTCAACATGTAAGAAGTAGAAAGTACAGGTATTTGTGTTCAACATGTAAGAAGTAGAAAGTACAGGTATTTGAGTTCAACATGTGAGAAGTAGAAAGTACAGGTATTTGTGTTCAACATGTAAGAAGTAGAAAGTACAGGTATTTGTGTTCAACATGTAAGAAGTAGAAAGTACAGGTATTTGTGTTCAACATGTAAGAAGTAGAAAGTACAGGTATTTGTGTTCAACATGTAAGAAGTAGAAAGTACAGGTATTTGTGTTCAACATGTGAGAAGTAGAAAGTACAGGTATTTGGGTTCAACATGTAAGAAGTAGAAAGTACAGGTATTTGTGTTCAACATGTAAGAAGTAGAAAGTACAGGTATTTGTGTTCAACATGTAAGAAGTAGAAAGTACAGGTATTTGAGTTCAACATGTAAGAAGTAGAAAGTACAGGTATTTGAGTTCAACATGTAAGAAGTAGAAAGTACAGGTATTTGTGTTCAACATGTAAGAAGTAGAAAGTACAGGTACTTGAGTTCAACATGTAAGAAGTAGAAAGTACAGGTATTTGGGTTCAACATGTAAGAAGTAGAAAGTACAGGTATTTGTGTTCAACATGTAAGAAGTAGAAAGTACAGGTATTTGAGTTCAACATGTAAGAAGTAGAAAGTACAGGTATTTGTGTTCAAAATGTGAGAAGTAGAAAGTACAGGTATTTGAGTTCAACATGTAAGAAGTAGAAAGTACAGGTATTTGTGTTCAACATGTAAGAAGTAGAAAGTACAGGTATTTGTGTTCAACATGTAAGAAGTAGAAAGTACAGGTATTTGTGTTCAACATGTAAGAAGGAGAAAGTACAGGTATTTGAGTTCAACATGTAAGAAGTAGAAAGTACAGGTATTTGTGTTCAAAATGTAAGAAGTAAAAGTTAAAAGTCGTCAGAAAAATAAGTCGTGGAGTAAAGTACTGATACCAGAAAAATGTACTTAAGTACAGTAACAAAGTATTTGTACTCCACTACTTCCCACCTCTGAAACAAACCCAACAAAAACATAAAAAATGACCTGATCTGTGAAATAGAAAAGATTATTTGAAATGTTGCCTATCTTTCAGTGAAACGGGTCAACCAATAATCTCTTTATTGAACGTCTGCCATCACTTAAACACGCAATTCCTTATTTTTCTAAATGGACATTGCTAACAGTAAGGAAACCATTAACTCTACTGAATATTGTGTTTATTTCATATGATCCTTGCAGCTGGTACTTCCTGTTTCTATCTCTTTGGGCTGCACAATTGTTGGAAATCACAATATGAACAGGAGTGACGTTTAAAGTGCAATATTTGGTAAAAGCCAAATATGTCAATAATATCTAAATTGAGTATTGTGGTTCTGCAGAGAAATCCAGTCAAACCGTTTTTGACACACTAAATTAAAAATCTTTGTTGAGGATAGATTCTCCCGAAATCACATCAGGATCAATTTAATAAAATTCTCTGTAATATCTCAAGTCATTTCACAATTGCAGCTCTACTTCCTCTTCTGCTCATTATGTCTGATGCTGAGCCCCGTAGTATAACAACAAGCCAAACAACAATTATCCTCCTCTCTCAAATTTGACTTACTTTAAGTCTTGTATATGCCGGATGATTGCAGAGCTCAATCCCTGGAAAGTGGGACAACCCTCAACTTTTGTGTTTGTTTGCTAAGTTGCTATGTGACAAGCCATCTGCTTCATCAACTGACAAAAACACTGACATATTGCGCAGTTTAGCAGATCTGTGAAAACACAGCTGGGACTGTGAAATATTTCAGGAAACTACTCACAGACAATCATGTGATCACCGTTTGCAGTGGTTTAAAACCTAACTTTGTAATTTAGAAGCATTTTGACTGGATCGGTTATGTTTTTGTAATGACACGGCTAAAGAAACGTGATCTACATTCACACAAAAAGTAACACTGCTGCTATTATCTCGCACTGCAACTGCGACATCTTCCGACTAGCACCACTTATTTTCATCTCATTGCAATGGCACCATTCAGTTGTTTTCTAAATAGTGTTGTTTTGACCCCATTTTGAAAAGATGTGTCGACAAAATAAGCCTTTTGTTTTTAGTCGGCTTCAAATGGGTAGGTTCAGGTTATTTATTTGTACCCGTAGGTAGATTTTGTTTGCAGAGAAAAAGACAAGGGATCCATCCTGACTCTAAAAACAAACACAAACAACAGACACATCTCTAATAAAAGGACTAGTAAAAAGTACACCCTGCTCAACCAAATCTCAAAATGGGAAAACACTAGAACAAACATGGACATTCAAAATTCATAATTAAATAAATCCAAATAGGCACCTGTGTGACGCTCCTATGATGTGTTAATTTGTGCAATAGCTGCTGATAAAGCTGTTTTTATACCGCTTCGTTCGACTCTTTGGGAAAACATTTTTCTTTTATCTTAAGAAAGGAGACGTACATTCCCTGCTTAAGATGAACTCTGTGGCTCTGTTCCACAACATTATAATAAAAACAGAAAATACAGCAAAATCAAGACTAAGAATTCAATACATTATTAATTTGTCTATGTTTTTTTTGTAACCTCTATGATTAACGTTCTATTTGCCACTTCTGTTTTAACCCTCCTATTGTCTTTGTTTCCCCCCCCCTACTTTGAGGTCGAATTTGACCGGTCCTGTTTTAACTGCTATTACATTAACATAAAAACCATTAATCATCACCACATTTCATTTAACACCCTTTCAAACTGTACATATTGTATCAGACTACTGGCATACATGAAACACTGCAGTAAATATACAAAGAATAGACACTGAACATGTGTGTGTGTGCGTGGTGTGATCCATGTGGGGGGATGGGCACATAAGAGCGGGACATGTGTCAAATTGCTCTGTGTGTGTGTGTGTGTGCGTGTGTGTGTGTGTGTGTGTGTGTGTGTGTGTGTGTGTGTGTGTGTGTGTGTGTGTGTGTGTGTGTGTGTGTGCCAGGTGTGATTCACATGAGGGGATTGGGCATATAAGGGGGGGAACACATCTAGAGTATGTGTGTGTGTGTGTGTGTGTGTGTGTGTGTGTGTGTGTGTGTGTGTGTGTGTGTGTGTGTGTGTTTTATCTGATCCGGATGGTTACTAATTCCTTTTCTTTATGGCGGGAACACCATGGTGTTACAAAGTTGACTAAATCATCCAAAATGCAATTGTATATGTTTAAATGTCTACTGTGAAGGATATCATAGAGCCTTAATGCAATCGAATGTAAAACAAAAAAGTTATGATTGATGAAAGTAGTAAATCGGTCAGATTTGACCCGAAGACAACAGGAGGTTTAAGAGGGACGCTCCTGCAAAGAAATTCTTGATCTCACTTCCAGATCTCCTGGTTAGACAAACCTATATTCTTAATGTAGTTATGAAGATAGTAGGAACAAAACCACGAGGATTAAGCTAGTCATGGCAAGATATATGTCTTTGACTTTAGATTAAGGTTTGTTTATTTATTTGGTTTGTTATTTTACCTTTTCTTGATTACCTCTTTCATGTATTTGTTTGTTTATTTATTTGTTGTTTTTATGTTTTGTTAATTATAAAATAAATAAATATATATATGTTAATCATTTCGTTTTTGGGAGAAGGGGTGGGATTAAATACGTGTAAACTACTTCCCACCCCTTTTCAGATGTGTAATTAAGTAGATCATTTTTTATATATAATTTTTAAGTCAGTAAGATTTTTGTTTATCAATTTCACACTGCTTAAAGGTAGTGTGGAGAAACCAGCTCGAGTGCGCTAGAATTTGTACACAACCGGAAAAAATCTGCCCCTTCCTTCAGACTTCCTCACAGAGCCCCTCCTCCAACACACGAACGCGCACATGACCAATGAGGGCACGAGATAAGTTTGTGCCCAGATGGAAGGCTGACAGGCAGGTAGGCCATCCAGTTACTTTAGCCGGCTCAGATGATTGGTCGAGCTTTTCACAGCGCCACAGCTTCCACAGATGACATTTTGTAAGCATTTAATGTATTCATTGCTATCGGGATGTTAAGAGCATTCCATGGAATATAACAAGTGTTTCTGAAGTGAATTACCTACCCTACCTTTAAGTTTATATAGTATAATAATTCTCATGTTTCATTTAATTATTATTATTGTTTTACACATTCAAAACAAATCAAATCAAAAATAATCAAACAGATGGTAGACGCTCACCTTGGCTAACCTCTCCAGACGGGAGATGTCGATGGCAGCTTCAGATGGAGCCGTCTCTCGGCTATTCCTCATTGCTCTGAGGACGTCTCTCAGCGCAGCCTCCAGGTCTCCTTTCTCTTTTGACAGCTCATCCACTATGGGTTTAAACACTGCTTTGAGTTGTTATGCTCCCCACTAATGGAACACACTTCCAGAAAACCTGAAGTCTTCACCAACGCTGAGTTCTTTCAAGTCGAGGCAAAAAAAAAAATCTTTTTTCAGCTGCTTACCCAGAAGTCTTTTAACTTGTTTAAGCACCTACTGTATTTACAATGTTGTTTTTAAACTATCTCTTTTATGCATGTTTTTTATGAATCTGTTATTCCATTGTGTTTATTTATTGTGTTCCCTTCTGTTGTCTTCTTATTAAGTGTTAATGATGAGGTAAAGCACTTTGAATTGTCTGAAAATGTGCTCTATAAATAAACGTACCTTACAGAACCATATCTGTGACACTGATGCATTTCATTACACTAAAAAGTATCGTGTTGTGAAAAATTGCTTAATTATCCCTGCAGGACATTATTCTCTTCTACTAAGGGTTGTCAGATAACTTATCGAATCGTTAATGTGTACTCACGCTTCATGTAGAACTGGGTCTTCTGGAGTTTGAGCTCTCTCTCCTTATTGCTCAGTTCCTCATTCTGCAAAGAAGATGTTATCAAAAGTTAACAAAGAAAACCTTAAAACCTTTATAGCTGCAGGTGCAACATGTATTGTGTCAAATGTATTTATGTTGAATTCTCAAATCACTTTGGACTGATAGAGAGGCGAAGTCCCACACATCTACTTCCCACTCATGGGACCTTATTTCGGAAAAAGTATGTATTGAAGTCAATGGAGAGAGAAAGATTATCTTTCGATCCCGTTTGAATTGTGCCATGAATTACACATATGATGTTTGTCAATCTTAAAAAATTATTTCCACGTCAAAAAAGTCACAGTTTGTCGTAAAACTGTTGAAATATAAGACTATGAAAAATACACAACTAGAAAGACTACAAATCCCAGAATCCCGGTCCCGCATGCTGGCTCTTACGGAACCGACTAACTCCCCTTGTGTGTATGTACAGCTCTCAACACGCCCAGACCTGGAGTGATTTTCACCTCGTTTGATACTTTCCGTCTCATTCTGAAAGGAAGAAGTGAAATGTTTCAACGTGACGGCCGTCTTGGTGTGTGGAGCGAGACGGGAGATGTAGTTCATTGAGCGGTTTTACACAAAAAAATGTGTTCCTTCACATTTTTACGACACATTTTAATTTTTTTGACTTGCAAAATGATCTTTTAAATTGACAAACATCATATGTGTAATTCGTGGCACAATTCAAACGGGATCGAAAGATAATCTCTCTCCATTGACTTTTTCCGAAATAAGGTCCCATGGAGGTCCACCGGAAAGGGAGGGACTTCGCCTCTCTATATTCAAATGTTTGAAATATATAGTTCAAATTTAGGGTCTCAATACATCGGTATGGATGAAAATGGTAATATAAAAAAATGAATTACTGATATTATGTTAAAAATACTACTATGATAATATTGTGTTGGCCTTGTCGATGTTTTGTTCATCAATTTCTTATTTTCTATATATATTGCGATCGTGCAATCTTTTTATTGTAAATTATTTCGGATACAATAATGGTGAATCTGATATTGTACACATTCTTCCAAACTTCATGGATTACATGTCTTTTCCATTCTGCTTCATTTCATTTTTCTTTACCCAAACAGTACTCAACACAATATGCTGTAAGCTGTAAGTAAATAACCATGTAATCATTTAATGGCATCCTTCTGACATTCTGGACACAGAGCAGACCTCCCTGGATGACTGATGGTCAGATCAAATGAAAAGCTAAACACAAACAGTTGGGTTGGATAACATGACAAACGATGGTTTTGTGGAAAGCCAATAGCTCGTCACAATGAATTAACCTTTCATGAGGAAAGTGCTTCTCTTTAAAGCACATGGGACTTGACTGAAGTTGACATGCGATAAATGGCGTGATTAGTTCCAGGCTTACTTTGCGTCTGATCTCTTCATCTGTGTAAGTGCTGATGTGTTTGAGAGGCAGCTGTTCACTTCTGCTGGACCGAGGGTCCTCCTCCTGCCAAAGGCTGGACTGAGGGATGCCTGTAGACAGAAAGTATGGTTACTAACACTTTAGAAACCTTGCAATGTGCGTATAGAATAATGTTCTATGTGTTTATCAGTTATAAGAAGGGAACAAGTAGATACTGCTTTATTTTAACTATATTTGTTCTTATTTATTTGTATGTTACTATAGTGTTCTTAAAATAGTTCTCTATCTGTGTCATTTCATTTTGTTTTACTTTTATGTATGCACCACGACACCAAGTCAATTCCCTCGTACGTGTCGACCTACCTGGTGATAAACCTGATTCTGATATGTGGCTACCTCTTTCTAAGTATCCATCCTGTTCAAAATATACAATAATGTAATATTTTAAATGCGCCACTCATACAATTATAGGTTGATATCTCAAACCATGTGTAAATAAAGCCAAATCATGAGGAGAAACCCTCAAATAAGTTCAAAGAGAATGCTTTTCTGTACATTTTGTAAAGAAATGTTTCTGCCGGAGAGAGGAAAGTTCCTCCTGAAGCATGCTGCTGCTGCTGTGTTTAAACCCTACACCTTAAAGGAGGAGCCTCATTCAGATGTGAGTGTAACTAGGGCCCAATCCCAAACCACTCCCTCGACCCTACCCCTCCGTGACGGAGTGAACTCCGTCTGTAGCCACACTCGCAGCTCAACGAGGCTCCTCCTGTCAGATGGAGGGAGTAAATACAGCGGCAGGCTTTGGGACGGCCTTCCCTCTCTCCGGCAGAAACAGGAAATGCTGTAACTGTATGTAACAACGGTTTCAAATCAGCATCTCTTAGACAAAAAGTTTATATTAATAACTCAAATAAAACTCCAAACATCTTTCATTGTGTTTCAAAGCTCTTTTAGTTTTAAACCTGATGTTTATAAGCTTCTTAGTTTTTGCAAAGGTCTGTAAATATACACAACTTTATAATAAAATGCACACATTTACCTTTTAAGACCTTTTTTAAGACCCTTTCCATACATTTGAAGACCTCATCGCCACTTGGAGTTTTAACCGGTTACCTTGGCGACACACTTTACCTCACATTGACTATATACAGTATTGATTGTCCTTCCTCCTTATCTTCCAACCATTTGGACGCAGACTTGCATTTCCCCATAACGATGTTGTTTAACAACCGGCGTAAACGGACCTTCACGCTATCAAGCAGTGAGCGTGCGATGTCCTGTTCAGATGACGTCAAACCCAACGGGATGCCATCAATAAACTACAGAATCACACTACACACCTACGCCATGATTACATTCAGGCAGACTGTAGAACACAACCTCTTTGGACCATTTATATACTTATTGGAAACAAGCTACAAAATGTAATACCTTGGAAAAAGCCGTTTAATACTTTTTAATAGCCTTAATTTTCACTAAATTGATTTTAACTTTTAATACTTGTTAAGACCCCGCGGACCCCCTGACCTTGCTGCATACATTGGCTTTTTAAAAATTCCACGATTTCTGCATCACCTCTTTCCTTCACAATGCGCCGTATTTCTTTCTTCAGCTCAAGTCTTTCTTCTTCCAGCCGTTCGATCTGTGAAATGAAGGAATGAGCTGATCAGAGAACATTGTGGTAATAAAGAAGTTATTGTAACATTTGTAATCCTCTCTCTACCTCTTTGGTGAGGACTTGATTTTCTGCTTTGTACTGTCGCTGTCTTAGATCTTTGGCTCGCCTGAACACAGTCAGATCTACTTCCTGTTTTGGCTCCAGACCTTGGGAGTTAAGAAAAAACATGAAAGAAACAAATGAATGTTTCCATGTTGTTCCGTTTCTTAGTAGACGAAGAGATGGGAAAAGATAGTTTTTGTTTTTTTTAAGAACTGACCCAGTTTTTCTCGGAAATCCTCGTTTTCGTCCATGAGGTCATTGATTCTCATCTCAAGCTGGTTGATCTCTTTGGTCATGGCCTCAGCCTCAAGGTCTCTCACTCTAATTTGAGTTTTACACCCTTTGATCTCTACAATGGCTGCTTCCAGTCCGTAAATACCCTGTAAGACAAAAACAGAGCTGTGATGAATACTCCATCAAAAAGCGTCTCGTGGACGTTTTCTTTCCTGTCCGCTTTTTTTGTGGCAATTATGACGCGATTAGACGCGGTGGGAAACAAACACTTAGCTTGTAGACCCAAAAAGCATGTTGATCACACCATAGTCACAAAGTCATTTCAATGTCCAAAAAAAGAACCTTCACTTGTCGGAATTTGAGTTTTGAGTCATTCGATTTGGTTTTTAAATTGGTCGAGGTAAAAAAAACAAGAAAGAGTTTTTCTTTGAAGACTTACAGACTCATACTGACTCAATCGGTTTGAGGCCTCAATGAGTGCTTTGTCTTTTTCCTCAGCGTGAGCTTCTGCAAGCGTTACAGCCCGCTCTGCTTCCGCTGCTCTGGTGTCTGCAGCCTCCAGCTTGGACATCAGCTCCTCCATCTTTCTCTGCGTTATGGCCGATGGCAGGCCTTGAAAATAAAAAAACCGACGACTTTATTCGACTACAGACAAAAGTGACACTGATGATTGCAGGGTATGATAATTTACTAGTCATAACAAGCACATTAATTTAAATACTCAAGTTCACCTGTATTTATCATCCCTTTAATATGTTTAAAAGACAGCAGCAACGACTCATAAACTATACTGGATACTTAATTTAGCAAAAGGCTAACAATGAACAGACAAATGAGAAGAGTGATGACTAGATTCGGGACGGGTGGCGCAGTGGTCTGTGCATCCGATCATCAGATCAAGGGGGGTGCTGGGGAACTCCAGTTCGAAACCCGCTCCTGCCGCCACTGCGTCAGGCCGTTGTGTCCTTGGGCGAGACACTTCACCCGGATTTGCTCCTGTGGGTAATGTCCACAGTACATGTATGATACTAATGTGTACTTGTAAAAGCGCCTCGATGACATTGAGGCGTGAAGATGGACGGTGTGGCGCAGTGCGCTGTGCAATGATCAATGATCGCCGCTGCTGCGTCTGTAAAGCCGTTGTGTCCTTGGGCAAGACACTTCACCTGAACTTGCTCCTGTGGGTATTGTCCACAGTACATGACCATTGCATGTATGATATGTGTAATGTGAATTTGTAAAGCGCTTTGAGCATCTGGAAAAGCGCTATAATAAATGTAAGGTATTATTATTAGATTGGCTGCACTGACTCCTGAGGGAAATGACTTGGCTAAGAGGCTGCGTGGAGGTCAGAGCCATTATTCACAGGGGGCTTGTACACTATCATCAACTGTATAACCAACAGGGAAGACCACCTCCCACAAAAAGCCTGTAACATCTGTGAAATAACACTGTCTGTAAATGATGAGGTGCCGTACAGGCCATAATTCATACTGGTCCTCCCACACACATACATTCTCCTTTCACCTACAAAACATTTTCACTCTCATATTCATATATTTACACTCACACATTTTGCTCTCATATTATCATATAGCTGCATTTGCTGCTGTAATGCCAGAAATGTCCCCATTTAAAGGTTTTCCTATTCTGATTCTGAATTGTTTTTATAAAAAGATGTTTGCAGCTTTAAATAGCCCCTTGAGGAAGCAGGGACCACAAGAAGTACATAGTAACATCACGTTGTAACACTCGTGCTACTATTGGCTAACGCTCCAAGACAATCAGAGCAGACTGGGCTCTGGTTTCAGACAGAGGGTGAAAAGACAGGCAGTATGCTAAAAATAAAGAGCTTTTTGAACATCAAAGCATGGAGACATGTCACAGTAGAGACACTACATACTGATTTGAACCTGAAATGAGAGTAAAAGGGCCCCTTTAAGTTGGGAAGTGCTTTGTTAGGAGTCTTACGGCCCGTCCACACTACAGCTTCGACAGCTTCAAAAACGGTTTCCAACGCGTCTGCCCATTCACTTTGAATGGGGTGACGTCACTTTTCACCAAACTGCATTGTGGGAAGCAGAGCGGAGCTTTCCTGGCGTTTCAGGCTGCAAAAGTTGAGCAATGTTCAACTTTTGAAGCTTCTGAAGCTTTCGGTGGAAGCGTCAGCCAATCAAATCATATGCCAGTACAAGCTCTAGCCAATCAAACCGCTGCTTGTGTGTCAGGGGCGGGAGATTCATGTGATTGGTTGTTGGTCGAGCTTCAGACACGCCCAGCTCCAAGCTTTTTTTGAAGCTGTAGTGTGGACGGGCCGTTAAGCAGGGATCTACCCACCTCTGTCTTTCTTTGTGGACGTCTTTAGCTCCTCGATGAGCAGGGTGTGCTTCTCCATCTCTCCTGTGTACTGCTCCACCTGCTCGCCCAGTATCTTGATTTGATTATCCCTCTCTTGGACGGCCTTTAAGAAATTCCCGAATAATTTAAATTGATGAGAATGTACAGTATGTGCAAGACAGACCGCAGCTGTACAATTATCTGCACTTTCATTTTTGAAGGAACAGTTATGAAATGAAAGAAGGAGGGAGGGAGGCTGAGGTTAAGAGGCTCAGGACAGAGGAAACTTACAGTGCAGAGCTCATATATGACCTGGCCCACAGCCCAGAGACACGGAGGGAGGACAGGTTGATAAAGCATGCCAAGGCGAAGAGAGAAAGCACGGAATAGCAAGAAATGACAAATAGATGGAAGAACATGAAGTGACAGTCCACTCAGGATTGCCCTGCTTCTAAGGACACAGATTAAGGAATGCAATGACTTTCCACACTGTAATAAGGTTTTAAAAGCAGGGTCTTGAAAAACAGAGAAACCTAATTTCAAAGCTACTTAGACATATTTGCCAAGACATACTATTTGAAACTGCTTTACTGGGAAGAAAATACATTGTTATGCATTAGGGTGCTATAACTTTGATATAGTAATAAAACAATTACTGTATGATGTTGTAAAACTGTTAGTAGAACTATATTTAAGTGAGTAAAAATGCATGGTTTGCAGTTAATCCTATCTTCCCCATCAATAACACGTTTCCATGGTACATAAATGATGACGAGGGACAGACCTGCTGCAAGGCGATGATGTTGCTTTTGTCCAAGTCCATCTGGGCGGAGCGCAGCTTTTCCCTCAGATCGCGAATCATCTGCTGGTAAACGAGAACTTCATCGTCCTTCGCAGAAAGCACTCTCTGTGTGAGAGAAACATATCAAGTTCGGCTAATAGAAGGCCCATAATGACTGAGGAAGAATACAATATATACACTTTATGTATTTGTATTGAATTCAATACTTTTATATGTTTAGGTATGGATGTATACTTATTTTATGATGTAAAAATGTGCCTCTTTATTTTATGGTAGGGTCGGTAAGAACGGAGAAACCAGTCGAGTGCGCTAGAATCTGAAAGTACGCAGCCGAAAAAAATCTGCCCCTTCCTTCAGACTTCCTCACAGAGCCCCTCCTCCAACACACGAACGCGCACATGACCAATGAGGGCACGAGATAAGTTTGTGCCCAGATGGAAGGCTGACAGGCAGGTAGGCCATCCAGTTACTTTAGCCGGCTCAGATGATTGGTCGTGCTTTTTACAGCGCCACGGCTTCCACAGATGAATTTATTGTCAAAGCATTTAATGTATTCATTGCTATCGGGATGTTAAGAGCATTCCATGGAATATAACAACAAGTGTTTCTGAAGTGAATTACCTACCCCACCTTTAATTTGCAATGTATTTTTATGTGTATTTGTACTTGTGATGTTTCAGTGTTTCTTTCTGTTAACTGTCAAGTGGGAACTAAGTATTGTTTTCTCTTATTATCCTACGATACTGTGTGAATAAGAAAATATGAAGGACAGACCATCTATTTCCATTTATTTATTTATTTTTTAGAAAGGGGCAGGTAATATAAGATTCATTTATTGTCCCTGCTCCTGTCCGTTCAATGGTGTGTTAATAGAGACATGTTTTGTAAACAATTATTATGCATTAAAGGTGGGGTAGGTAATTCACTTCAGAATCACTTTTTGTTATATTCCATGGAATGCTCTTAACATCCCGACATAAGGATTTCTGATTCTAACTCAATAATGTCAGTAAAGAAGCAAAATAAAGTGCATATTTACAAGATTTTGAGTTGCAGGGACTAACTAGTGACCATCTTGTGATGGGATCACCCAAGTCGGGTGTTAAGTGGGGGATCAACAGTAAGAAAACATTGACACAGATTAATCATTCAAGATGTGTGGGCTTTACTTTCCACCATATCATAAATTGAGGAGCTAATGGCCCGTTCCCAGAGGATCACATTATCCAAGTACTTGGTGGAAGAATTCCAAATACCTAAAGGCAGACGCATTTAAACTGTTTCCCAATATATCCTCCTGAGACCCACCCATTCATTTGGTTTTGGTCCATAACTATGAGGTTATACATGCCACAGCATTAAGTCCAATTGTACTCCACAGAGGACATCCTGGGCTTTTCAAAAATATGACATATGTGGGGGTGTGGCTTTGAAAAAGATAATTTCATTGTATTTCAACATGGCGTCCATCAACACAAGCACTATTTATAGAAAGAGAAATGGTAAGTTTGTAATTACCAGTGTTGTGAGTTCAATATTTTTAATTAATTATAGTAAGGGAACCTCTTAGGAGTTAGCGTAATGAGTTTTCAGAGCAGTGTAATACTTATTTGACCTAAAACTAAATGCTTTTATGACTGTCCTCTGAGGAGGACATGGGGATTTGCTAACTTTTTATTTCCCCATTTTACACAACACAAATGGAGTCCACTATGGGCCAAAACTAACACGTAGGTTTCTGTAGGGTTCATGGCAGACGGATGCAGTGGGAAAACATACATCAAGTGCATCAAGTGTCAGATGTATCTCTGCATTTCAAAAAAGGATGGAGTACCACAAATGAGGGCTCAATATTTGTTGCATTGAGTTGTTGTGCTCTAATGTTGTCGAAATGTACGAAATGTGTTTCCTCTACAAAGGACACACAATAAAACAAAAATAAAAATATATTTTTTGTTTTTGTTAGTCATTATGTTAATACCAGCCTAAAGACTTGTGTGATCAAAAAAAAAAAGGAATTCTTTCTGGGTCTCAGGAGATGTACACCATCATACTGGATAACGTTTCATAGCTGTAGATATTTCATTAAAACCCACCTTCCACTCCTCCACTTTAGCATTGACTGCTACCATGATTGGGTCGTCCTCTTCATTCATGTTATGGATCTTATCAGTTAGCTCTCTGACCTGCACGTCGAACACACAACTCATAATAAATACCTTGCAGTCAAAAAGATAAATGGTGTAGGTTAACATGTCAGCATTAATATATATTTCACAAACCACACAGAGCTGCAGTTAATACATTTATTAAAAAAAAGACAGTGTCAGACTGTATTGCATCCCTACAAAGCTCCTTCTGGCATTTACAAGATTCCAGCGTGCCAGATAACCATCTCGATTTCCATGTAATCAGCGCACCTGTACATGAGTCTTCAATTTGTGCGAGGCATGCTCATGGTTTATTACACTAAAGCCCATTTGTCTAAGATCTGTGATGGGGTACGAACAGCCGGTGATAGATGTAAGCAATTTCCAGCAAACCTCATCCACATGTTCCAGCCCTGCCCATCCCTACACATCTATTAGGCAGAGCTTTTTAAAACTATATTGGAATGAATTGGGGCCTAAGTAGAACCAAATACTCTTATTGAATGATCACCTTTTTACCTTCCCTCCCTACACCCAGTAGAGACATTATAGTTTATAAAACCCTACTGGCTAGAAGGTTATGTAATTACTATTATAAATGTGAAGCTACTGTGTTTTCATCTCATACTCGCTGGGGCTGCACGATTTGGGGAAATAATCTAATTGCGATTTTTCTGACAGATATTGCGATTCGATTTGCGATATTTGTTTTTAAGCGACCCAACGGAAGTGTATTGTAAAATGTGGCCATAACTCCGGCTAGGAAGGTCGTATCAACGTGCTCCCGTCTCTAGCACCCCGCAGCCCGAGCTACGAGTGAAAGAACTAAACTTACATGAAACTTCCGTTGGGTTGCTTTAAAGTCAAGCTTCAGTTTAAGATTCTCCCTGTAATAGAAACATGTGATGGAGCATTACTAACCTGACTCAGATGGTTCACCAAACCATCTAAAGCTCCATTGGAAGCCATTTGGAAAGGGCAGGCACTTTCAAAAACACTTGGCAGGTGATTGGATCAATCTGTCTATCACCTTCTATCATGGGCCACTTCTGATTGGTTAACAATGGCTGGTACATGTGGAGCACAGCACTTCTGATTGGTTAACAATGGCTGGTACATGTGGAGCACAGCACTTCTGATTGGTTAACAATGGCTGGTACATGTGGAGCACAGCACTTCTGATTGGTGTGGATGACTGACACACAAGAAGAAAAAAATCGCAGGCTTGTGATTTGATAATTGCATCATTTCAAATCGCGATTTCGATTTAAAATCCGATTAATCGTTCAGCCCTACACTGGATAGGAGGTTTTCCTTTACCTTTAGTCTGTTATATAGGTTTTTGTGCATGTAAATGTTGTGCAAAGACTAAAATCCCTGTGTTCCCTCGTGCGGGAGTTTCCAGGCTTTCCCTGAGTAGCTCCTCAAATGCATTTTAGGAGACACATGGGGCCCATTTTTTAAATGTGTTAAGGGGATACATTTCCCTATTATTCCTAAAGTGTTGCTCTTTGGTGATGTACCAACTTGAAATGTGTTGTTTTTCTTCTGAGTGTGAATGAATTTGTTCTGGTGTTGGCAATACTTCACTTCTTAGTATTTACAGTCTTTTAAAGTTAAAGGGGACCTATCATGCCAAATGCACTTTGTGATGTCTTTTATACATAAAGATGTGTCCCCGGTGTGTCGGGGAACTCACGCAGCGTCAGAAAATAAAACCCTCTCTCTTTTCCTCCGTACCCAAATCTCTAAAAACGGGCTACAACGGAGCTGATCCAGATTTGCGTCCGATATGACGTAATATCTGAAATGTGGACCCACGGCCCAATCAGAAACATTGCTATCAGAAACAATGCCCGACTGTTTTGGACGTAATATGGTCGGTGTTTACATTAGCATGGCTAACACTCAGAGCTAACCTGTACTGGAGAGCATGTGTGTGAAGAAGCAGGAAGTAAAAAGGAACTCACCTTGTGGTATAACCGGCAAGAGAGAAAGCCTTTGAGCTCCAAACTGTTTCAGAGAGAATCCTTGATAATCCATGATATGGCGTTTCATCACGGCAGCATTTAGTTTAGACAGTAGCTGCCGGGTCCCGCATGAGCTCAGACCCCTCCTCTTTATTTATTTTTTTTAAGTTTTATACCCCAAATCCACATGTTTTAAACAGGAAGTGAAATAGAGGGATATGAGGCATGGCTATAATTTTGAGCAAAACACTTCATAGTCATGTTTTTTATATATTTGTATATATCTGAGACCCATGCTATTGCCTAAAAATAGCGCTATTGATCATCGCTGGACAGTTTGAACAGAGTTTATGAGCCGAGCTTGACACTAAAATCTCCTTGGCTGTGATTGGTTGTTTTCCATGGAGTGAGCTGGAATCTTGTAAAGGCCATAAACAGCATTTAGAGAAGGCAGAGGAAGCTTTTGTTTCACAGATTACCAGCCTCATGTACTACTGTGAGGCTAAAGTCAAAGTGTTAGCTTGAAAGTCGACACCTGCAGCTTTAGAAAACAATGTGCAGTCAATTGAATTGGTTCTCTACCTGCAGCTTTGAATGATCCCTGTCTTTCCTGAGCTGGTCCATGATGGAGTCGGTCTGCTGCACAACGATCTTCATCTTGTTGTACTCGTCCGTCATCTTCTCCATCTCCCTCACCGACTCCTCCAGACTTTTCTGCATCTGCTCGTTCTGCGTCTTCAGGTGTGCGTTGTCATCTTCCGCTCGCTAATGGAAATCAAATAATTGAATTAACTTAATTTGTGGAAAAACACATGTAGAGCCAAATAAATAATTGGCAGGAAAGGTACATTCATAATTGAAAACGACCCTTATGTTGCTGGTTTGCAGCAGTTTAGACACATTTTCATCATGAAGGATAATTCCAAAGACTAAAGCATAGTACTATTGCCAGACTTTCAAAGATGATGGTCTGTTTACATAACCCCCAGATGGTTTAATAGATTTTAAGGTACCTGAAGGTCTTCCAGGCACTGGTAGAGCTGCCGGTTGGCCAGGTTGAGTTTCCTCTGCGTCTCTGCGCTCTCGTCTCTGGACGGCGACGGCTGTTTCTGCTCCAACTCCCCGCGGTAGAAGTCAACGTCCTGCAGGAGCTGCTCATTCTGTTGTGATGCAGATAGGACTAACATTAGAACGGAGGAAGAACTGGATCCGATGCCTTTATTGCATACATATTTTTATATATATGTGTTTTTGTATTCGGGATTGTGGGAAAGGGTATTTGGATCTCTCCGTCTGTACACACAAACTGAAAGCTTGACAATGAAGTTAACTTTGACTTTGATACAATTAACTAGAGACACAGGGTATATGCAGGAATCCTGAAGTCAAATGTAAGACCTTTTTTAAGACCCTTCCCCTACATTTTAAGACCTCATCACCACTTCGAGTTCTAACCGGTTACCTTGGCGACACACTTCACCTCACATTGACTATATGCAGTATTGATTGTCCTTCCTCCTTATCTTCCAACCATTTGGACGCAAACTTGCATTTCCCCATAACGATGTTGTTTAGCAACCGGCGTAAACGGACCTTCGCGCTATCAAGCAGTGAGCGTGCGATGTCCTGTTCAGATGACGTCAAACCCAACGGGATGCCATCAATAAACTATACAGAATCACACTACACACCTACGCCATGATTACATTCAGGCAGACTGTAGAATACAACCTCTTTGGACCATTTATATACTTATTGAAAACAAGCTACAAAATGTAACACCTTGGAAAATGCCATTTAATACTTTTTAATAGCCTTAATTTTCGCTAAATTGATTTATCAACTGTTAATACTTGTTAAGACCCCGCGGACACCCGAGACACTATATTTGATAATCTACAACTGATTCATGCTGAGATCTGAAACTGTCATTTGGGAATTAGATTATTTGATTTACAGTAAATTAATATTCAACAATGTTACTAAACTTTAACTTCTTTGAATACTTTTACAAGCCTACATAATCTTGTTCCAGTTCCAGTCCTGCCTTTATATGATACATGCAAATGGTTTGGGGTTTTACAAGACAATGCCTTGGGATGTGGGAATAGTAATTCCTAGAGACCAAAGCAGGGAACAGTTTCCAGATTAAAAGATAATAAATAACTGAAGTTAGTATCAATCAACGTCCAATAACTGGAGAAATGTCTCCATGCAAGATCTACAGCAAGATCAACTGTGTCTGAGGGATCATTTGTAAAAAAGGGCCTCATCTGTATTAGATCTTTCATAAAAACAAAATGGATTGATTTAGACATCCATCCAGTCCAGGTCTAACAGGCTTAATAAATACTTTAATCCTCAGGTGACCAAATGCTCACATGACCCAAGTGATGATTTGTCTCCCATTGGGCCTTGGGCCCCATTGAGGGTTTGAGCGATGGAATAATCTTGTTTCCTTTCGTCACTTGATGTATTTTTGTACGTTTTCTGTTCTAGTGTCCCGACATAATGAATAGAACATATATTTCACTTCGAAAATGAAGTTAATGTTGGACCTCTCTCCCCTCCCTCTCCTCTCTCCCCCCACTGGACTATAACTCCCCATACGCAGACACTCAAAATCAAAACACTTTTTTTTACGCTAATATGGACAATCTGCAATAACTGCACATTTTATGGACAATCTTGCACCAAAGTTATTGATATTGAAGTGACTGTTATTTTGTATATATTGATTGTTGTGTTTTTTGTTATCTTAATGTGTGCATATGTGTAAATGTGTCTGTTGATTGTGTACATAGGTCAGGATCTACATATATTATACATATCTGTATTACTGTATCATTTCACATTCGGGATTGTTGGAAACGTCATTTCGATCTATAAACACAAACTAAGTAAGATTGACATTAAAGTTGACTTTGACTGAGTTGAGACAAGTTACCCACACTCTACTACCACATAATCTACCACATGACTTTATTCTAGAACTATAGGGAACTGCACTTTGTGTTCATAAGTATAGTACACTTCATGTATACACCCAGGTCTTAAAGAGTACACTGTATAATGCGGTGTATTTGCTACTTACCTCATACCTTCTTCTCTGGTCTGTATGTACGTTGGTTGAACTCTCTCTAACCTTTTGTGTGTTATTTTAAGAGCTACAGCTAAATAACCAATGTGCAGCAGTAAGTCAACAGGTGTCGAGAGATAGTTCATATGTGTACTCCACATTCTAGCCCAGTTGTACCCTTATAAAACTACAAACACGATTAAACTGACACTGAATAACTGTAATCTAATTTGACTTCACTACCTGTATTACTTACCTTCTTCTTACGCTTTTTTAGCTACGCCAATGGAGTAGGAGATGAAAAGGGATGATGAATTGTAAGAAAGCATTTATAAGAGAAAGAAATGCCAGAGCACATGAATTCAAGTTATCGATGAAGTAAGGACAGATGATGGACTGAGTGATGAAGTAAAGGATGACAAATAAGTCAGGGTCTGTATCATGTAGTGCCAGCAGTCACATACCTCTCTCTTTAGCTTCTTGACCTCATCCTCAGCCTCCTCTGCTCGCGCGAGCAACTAAAAAAAAAAACAGAACAGTGGAGAGAAATTCAGAAACACAGAGACCCTTTAGCTACACCAGATTCATGACAAACACCAGGGGCCTCTTTTATAAAGGGACATACGCTCAAAAAATGGCGTACGCCAGTTTCTACGCAATGTTTGCGATTTATAAAATACTAACTTGACGGGAAAACGTGCGGTCCTCCACGCAAACTCTAACCCATGCGTACGCACTAAGCACAACAACGGGAGAGACGAGAAACTGCGACACCGTTGGCAGAAGGAAGAATGGAGAGAAATATGTGGAAATAATACCATAAACAAAATGTTACCTCTCATTTATCATATATGAAGAATTCATTTTCAAACATTGATTAAAGCCAATCTTAAAATGATTAAACAAACGCCTGTTTGCGACTCCTCAGTGCACACAAACACATAACTTGGAGAAATAAATAAATACGGATTTGTTATTTAAAACCACCTCGAATATGTTCTGTTAATGTTATGAAATGTTTTCTCATAAATGATGCGGTTTTGCATTTCTATAGGTTGTACAAGCATGGTTTTATATACTATCATGTTTAATCATGTTTTATGCCGTTTGCTAAGACTTGATAAGTCGCTCATAAAACACAGGAGGTATGGAAACTAAGAACACCATAGGCTATGTGGTAAATTGTACAGCTAATATAACACAACACATTAGTTGTATTTCCTTTAACTGGTGGATATAGAGTTGCTGCAGTGGAGACGCTGCGCACAGCTGATCGACAGCTGGGACACAAACCACCAAATACGAAAACAATCATTCAGATCCAGTCGTCATGACTCCACTCCGGAGGGATTCCCCGATCATTTCTTACAGTCTCTCATCAAGGGGGGGGGTCTCCTGTCCCCGGTACAAACACACTGCCTGAGGAAGGCCTTTTTCGGACCACTTATTTATTTATTTTGGTGACGATCCGACCTCCATGCTGCGACTCTGGTTCAAACGGCATCAACCAAACAATATGATTTATCTCGACCTCCCCAAAATAACCAAAATCTGACACGGTGTGAGAAGTCTTTTTGAGCTGTTCTGTCGTCATTTCCTGCGATCTTCTTCATGCAGTCAGTCAGAATGAATGAATGGGCGTTTCTTTGACTATTTATAGGCAAATATGGGCGTTACGTGAAGCCCGCAAAAGCTGCACCGCATTTCGAGTCGATTGTGATTTATAAAGGGAAACCGGCGTAGGAAGTGCTGTACGCACTTTCCTCGCCGGTACGCAATGTTTGGTGAATCGGAAAATGTCGGAACATTTCTGTACCTATTTTTTGGATTTCTACTACGTAAGCAACCTTCCCACATGAATCCTACGCACGGCGTTATACATGAGGCCCCAGAGCAGCCGCAAAGTGAGGCGGGCTGCCATGCAACGATAACAAGCTGCGAACTCAGCGACCTGGGCCTTTTGATTCTGCCCCAACTGAAGGATAGGGAGAGTTTGACGGTTTGCTGTCACATTGTGGCAAGAGTTTCTGCAGCCAATCAGTAAAGAGAGTCCCGGCCTAAAACACATAAACACGCCTCCTCTCCACAGTAAGAGGAGAGACGCACTTGCACTTGGCCATAGCCTAGTTCCATTCTTTTATTAATTACATATTTTTACGATTTCATATATTTTATTTATGTATTTATTTGTTGATGTATTTATATGTTTTTGAATTCACTATTTAACATTCAATAACATTATTTTTTATTATTTTCCGTCATTATATTATCATTATTTAATCAGAGGAATGTGAAGCAGACAACGTTTAATATGATCAGTGAAACTAAAGATTATTAGTCAAATATTTCAAATATGCCACACTTTAAAACTTGGCCACAGTCTAGTTCAAGTCTATTTGTTATTATTATAGATATTATTATTTTACAATTTCCTTATTAGAACAATTATTTTGAATGATATTATTAATATATTATTTTAAAAAAAACTATTCGTTAAAACAAACATTTATAACAAACTGGAAAACGTAAAAAAAAGCAAAGTATCGCTTTTTAATTGATGTACAATTACACTACATTACATGTCACTTGTTAGACGCTTTTATCCAAAGCGACTTACATACTCAATACTGTGGGCAATCCCCACAGGAGCAATTTGGGGTGAAGTGTCTCAGGGACACAACGACATGCTGACTGCAGTGGGGTTTGAACCTGTGACCCCCTGAACCCAACACCAACGCACTAGCCCACTGCGCCACACGCCTCCCATACAATACAATAGTAGTTAAGACTAAGACGATCACTAGTTGTTTCTATTCTGTGACTGTGGTTCCCATTGATGTACAAAATGTGTTTTCCTTGTGCCACGTGTCTTCAATAAAAATATAAATAAATTACTATTATAAATATATTATTAAACTGACTTTTTCCATGCACAACCTGAGGCAACAATAAGGGTCTTCAGTAGCATGATCTTTAAATGACACACCAGCACAATGTCTGTCTAATCAGCTGTTATCTGCAGGTCAACCAAGGACTGAACACTTAATCCAGCGTCCTATGCTGTGTGTTGGAATTATGGGTATTTTGCTCATACCTCCTCGGTTGTGTTCTTTTCCTTCCCCATGTCTTTCTTTAATTGGGTCAACTCCTTCTCCTTCTGCTCTAGCTGGGTCTCGAGCTGCCAGATCTCATCCCTCAGAAAGCGGCTGTCTGGCCCCGTGCCGGAGTGCTGAGCCGTACGGACCGGAAACAAAACAAACAAACACACAAACAACCCCCACTTAGTGTCCCATCACCTCCATCTGTTCGCCACACTAATACATGCATTCACGGTCATACAACATGAGCACTTACATTTCCTTAGCATGTAAAAGCAGGGGAGCAAACTCTGATTACAAACCTTTAAAAGTTGAAATAATAATCAGGTAAAGTATTGGTTGTAAGCATGGAAGGAATAAGCTTTAATCTTCTTAGTTGTGGTTTAGTGGTCACCACAACCAATCCCTTTGTAGCCAGGGTTACACTCTATGATTGGCTTAAGATTTCACACTGTTGCCGGAAGTAAAACAATGACGCGTGATTTCCAGTTAGACACAGTAATCTTTTTTCACATTTATATCAGTGTTAACATTAAGCCTAGTGGAAAACCTGAGTAGCTCAACGACTGACATACAATATTTGAGATACAGTACAAAAGTATGATGCGACACAGAGAATAAACAACAGGTGCAGACAGACAAACAGGTAAATAATACGTTACCTTGTGCTCTCGTTCCAGCCTTGACACCTTGGAAAGGAGTTCCTTCTCTACAGTGCAGAACAAATAATCCACTATGTAAATGTTGCTCTTTAGCAATGCTTAAACCATTTTTGACAACTAAAGTGTTTATTCACTAACCGGTTTTAGCATGCTTTACACCAATGTCCTCGACAAAGTTGGCAGCAATAGTAGCTTCCTGGTCCTTAATCTTTAGGCAGAGGGAGAGAAGATGATTACGTGTAAAATTACTTATTTTAAATGCACATGTTCAAGCAGGATAACAGAGTACAACCACGGTCAATCATTTGAATGTAAGTGATTAATTATTAATACTAAAAATATAATTTCTTATTGAAATATATTGCTATGTAATCATGCCAGTGGGTTTGCTGGTAGGTGTAAGTGTAGGAGATGAGAATATAGTAATGATCATAATAAAAACACCTTTAATAGGGTCTGGAACACTCTGAGGACTTGAACGATGTTCTCCGGGGCTTTATCCTTCACCTCCCAATCCTCCGTCTGCATGGAAAGCATGGTTTGAAGTAAAACAAATGACAACTGTAGAGACATTTGAACTCATAGCAGCAATATTCACAATTATCTGGACAAAAACAGGGACAGAGGTGAAACAAAAAAAGTTATAAAAATATAGGAACATTTTAATATATATATATATATATATTACAGCTACATACAATTATAAGTTTTTCTTGGACTGACAGCTTTCACTTAACATTTGCGTTCTGCAGGCTACAACTATGTGAGATATCCAGGTCAACATTGCACACAGAAGGACAGGCAGTGAAAGCAAAACAATCTGATAAGTATATTTAGCTGACAAAGCCACTGAGAAAGGATGGATAATACCCTAAACAATAATCTCCAAAGAGATCAGCAGGACAGGAGTCTTCCTTTTCAAGTAGCCATGGATAAACACACTGCCCACTGTAGTTTTAAACCAGAGAAGCGTTGTGGTTTGCTCAATTTTGCAAAAATGACAGGTGTAAGTTAGTGTCGTGAAGTGTGGAAATTACCAAAACAAACATGCCGAAGACTTCGTCCACTTGGTCATTGTCACATTCAAGCAGGCTCTCTGGGTCAATTCTGGTCACTTTATCCCAGTCCAGAGCAGCAGGCATCTTGGCAGTAGCGTGTTCGTTCATATTTAACGAGGAATTGTGCAGAATAAAAACCTGTCAGCTACACAATGTCAGTGTTAGCTGGTCAGTTAGCTCGTTGGAGTTAGGAAAACATGGCTAAACATTGCCTTGTAGCACGAAATTACATTTGTTCTGCATAAAAGCTGCTTTGAAATTGGTTTAGACACTAGCTAACTACATTTGTGATTACTTTTAGGTACGTTAAGTCAGTACTAACTGCTACAACAAATTCCACTTGAGTTCATGAATTAGCAAGCTGTCTTTTGAAAGTGGAAACCAAATGTTTGTTGTTATTTAACACCGCTTGTCAAGATAAGTTAAATGTAGATGTGTGTTAAAATGTCAGTAAACATCCATCCTGAGGTTTCCATGATACTTCGGCTGCTAGGTTACCGTTGACAACACCAGCAGTAACTTGGTTAGCTACAAAAAGCTAACGTTAGTCCTCAAGGAAATACAACTACAACTTTTTAAAAACGCAGGGTAAGTCCTCTCAAAGAAATGTACTAGACTTAACATACATGGCGGAAAGAGCATTACCACAAAGTAGTTATAAGTCGCATTTTAACAACGTTTGTCAAAAAAAGCACCGAGTGTTTTTAGCTAACGTTTAACTTGCGCGGTCAACTCTGCACCGGAACTGATAGAGAAGATGTGTTGAAGCTAGCTTTCTGCTAATCAAATCCCCAGGAAGTGCGCCGCCCGTTGAAGCCGATTTTTGGAATTGTTGTAGTGGCCAACTGGTGATACTACATCTTCCTTGACGTCATCTTGCCCCCAAAATACTTTTCCCCATTCACTTACATTGGGAAAGAGACGTCTGTTAATCTGAGTAGGATTTTTTTTTAGCTAAATAAACTACAGAGCACGAACTCTGTTATAGCCCTTATTTAAATCACCACAGTCTTAACGTTTTAAAATGCGCTAAAAGCTGATTAAAGAGTTATTGTCTCCTCTCCATTCATTTGACTGAGCCAAACCTGGAGATCAGGGCGGGGCTTAAGGGGACACTCAACTGCGCATGCTCCGTGGGCCCACATACGGGTACTTTGGCAGAACATATTTGCTTCATGCGCCTCTGAGCTACTCTCATAGGAATGAACGGTGCTCCACCTACGACGCTGTATTTCTCTTTATACATCCATGCTTGCTAAATTCTGCACTCCGTATGTGTGAAAATGTTAACCATTCTGACGTTTTGATATCACATATGCAGTCACGGTCAGTCCTTTTATAGCCACGGTAGGTGGGACATTCAAGAAATACCTCGTATTAATCTGCTTCCACCATAACCGTCTTAAATGCTTGTACAAACCTAGTTAGCATTAGCTAGCTGCTAAATTTGCTTTATCGTTTGCTAACGTTGTGTTGCAGAAGCCGGTTCAAGAATGATCTGAGCATGCATGTCCTTTTTAAACACCATGATCGAGCGATACCAATGTTGACTGTATTTGTATAACAAATGTCTGTGATATAACTATTGAAAGAGGGCATTTAAGCTAGCATTGGTTAACAATTGCTGTTAAGCTCCACCCTGCACTTTTTTTGCTGCCAGCTGTTACGGTACCGGATGCATGTCTGATGTATTTTTTGTATAAGCTTATAAGGGTGGTAAAACAGCCTGTGAGTGAGTTTTTGGACAAGGTATCATCAAAAGCACATTTAAAAGAACAATACAAGGAACATACTTTATGAGGTAGTTTTATAAACTTGCCCTATCCAAGTAATTTGAAGAGCTTCATTGTGGTTATGATTGAATATTTGCTAAGTCCAACTAGGAAACAAATCTTTGACAAGCTACAAATATGTCAGCTAATTGTATTGTATGTCAAACCCCTTTTTTGGTCCTTTACAGTGATCAATGACGGCTTTGGTCAGCCATGGCTGTCGTGTCATGGAAGGAGATGTTACTTTTGACTGGACTGGTGGTGGGATGTTACTGGAACAGTCTGTCCTGCGGCTTTGTGTTTGATGATGTCTCTGCAATCCTTGACAACAAGGACCTACGACCCTCAACCCCTATCCGCAACCTATTCCAAAATGACTTCTGGGGAACACCCATGTCTGAGGTAAGTCATTGTCCATAACACACCTTTGGTTTATCACTATGGGCTTACTAAGTTTACATTTGTATAGATAAAAGCTAAAGAGGATGTCTTTAAAATGTGGTGTATTAATAGTTTTATTAGGGACAATGAGTTCATTTTAACTTTAGGGAACTTTGTTGCAACCTCCTTATATTAACCTGACTATAATGGATTAATTAAACATCATTTAAAAGCTAAACAAAACATGTGTCACCCTTTTAATGTCTCTCAGTCCATCAACTGACAGAATATTGTGTATATCCCACTACAGGAGCGGAGCCATAAATCTTACCGACCCCTAACGGTACTCACCTTTCGACTGAACTACCTCTTCAGTGAGCTGAGCGCTGCCTCCTACCATTTTCTCAATGTTGTTCTACACGCCGTAGTATGTGTGCTTTTCCTGCGAGTGTGCCGTTTGTTCCTGGACGACACTTCCAGCTTGGTGGCAGCATTGCTGTTTGCTGTGCACCCCATCCACACTGAAGCTGTAAGTATACATTTACTGGGACAAAGCATTGTAAGAATGTAAATATGTCTGTGTCAAATTGATCAACTGAAATGGTGTTATAACAATCAGTAACAAATCAATTTTATGTGTAAAGTAATAGGCTATTGGTTGGACTTTTCAATTACTTTTCAAGCATGAGGTTTCCACTGAAAATATGCTGCTTTCTAGGAACAAGCATTTGATGCAGTTCCACCTTTTATAATGTTATAAATGGTATGTATTATTAGGCAGGGAATAACAAGCGCATCTCCTCAAGAACAAGTGAGGCTTTTTCTAAATTGATGCTAACCACACTGGAAAGTACAGCGTAAGCAGCAGGCAGTTGGTCTACAGGGCCATTGTCCACTATTATATCATACTTCTTTTTGACTTTAGCCTTTTACTTCAATTGGGAAAGATGTTTGCAAAAATGTAGTTATGGTTTAAACCAGGCAAGAGACCAAGACATTATATTATTAGACATTAATTGGTATTAAGTTTACAAAAGTGACTTAAATATACTTTTAACATGCCTACTAGAGCAATTGGAGTCAAGCATCTTGCGCAAGGACACTTTGACATGTAGGGTCTGGGGATCAAACCAGCAAACATCTAATTTCTAAACTCCCTTTGGTCCCCTGAGCCACAGACACCTGGACAATATCCATCTAAGCCCAAACATTAAACGAGCAACACTGACTGTGTAATTAAAGAAAACCATTCACAGATGCATCACACAAACTAGGCAAGGCAAGTTTATTTATATAGCACCTTTCAACACAAGGCAATTCAAAGTGCTTTACAAAAAATGAAAGACATTAAGAAAATGGCATTTAAAATCAGTCATTAAAAAGAAAAGCTAATACAATAAACATTAAAAGAAAAAGTACATGGATAAAAGTTACAGTGCAGTCTAAGATGTGAATAGTTCAATTAAAAGCAGCGACAAAAAGAAAAGTCTTCAGCCTGGATTTAAAAGTAGTCAGAGTTGCAGCGGACCTGGTGCTAGAAGAGGGAATTCTTCATGTTAAAACTCACTCGATCTCTCGTAAATATAGTTTTAAGATCCAACATGTACAAAAAGTGTATAAGCCGTGTGTTGATGTACATGCTGTGTACCCTGAGAGGATTAAGAAATCACTCGCCTGATGCTTCCAATACTTCTATAGCATCAACATGTATGTATGCCCTTTTCGTTCTGGGAGTGTTGTTTCTCTACGGGGTGAATACTAAAGAATTTCCACCCACAAAGAAGCTACATGTAGTGAAAACCTGCCACATTACCTGAATATTGTTACATCCTGCCCCGTGTGACCTGCTCAGGGTGTGACCATATGTTATCCATCACATCTCGTGTGTGTAGACATGCTTTGAACTCACTCATCATGAGATAAAATCAACTCAAGTTACTCCAACTGTCATTCAAACCCCTTCAGATAGCAGAGCAATGACCATCCCTCCTTAAGTTACAGCTGTCAATCTTGAATATTATCCGGACCACAAATGTTATTGAACTTTGACCAGAAGCAGGAAACCTTTTGCGTATTGTTTATCATTTGAACTTGATCTCATTCCCTTCTATAGGGCCTGTCTAAAAAAGCCTCTTCCCCAATTAGGACGTTGTAATTCATCCTATTGAACGTAGCCGAACTGATGAGCAGACCGGCCCTGACCAGAGGAGATAAACAGAGAAAACATTCTGCTTCTCGGGAGTGCTACTGTTACACAGCATGCTCCACTGCGCCAGTCTTCCTCATGGTGTTCTCTAATCTAAGCCGAGTCACTCAGACTTCTTGAATGGAAACAATTTGCCTCACAAATGAGCCCTTAGAGTTAGTCCAGCGAATGTCCTTCATGTTATCGCCGTCTGGAATCTCTCTCTGAACGGATCATTTGTTTTTGAGTTATGCTCCAAGCACTGAAGGTCCCTTCATGATAAGTGCGTACAAAGAGTCCCTGTGTGTCCCTGTGTCTTTCTCAGTGTGTTTTTTGGGTCATCTGTCTTTTTGAATGGAGAATCTTCAAATACAAATAATTTAGTGTACTAACTCTACAGCAGTATATTAAGCCTCTCAAATGGCACTTGGGTGAAAGCGCTCACTGAAAAGCAGCGCCCTGTACAAATGGACACACAAGGGATTTGTAGTCATTCGGACAAAATAACAAACAATAATTGTGGTCAGCCTTTCTACCATTGTGTTGGATTAAATGTGATGGACTGACAAGACACGCAAGCAAGTGCACCACATGTTCCTTCAATGTCTTTGTTACTTGTGAATCCATCTTTTCCCTGACTTTTGATAAAAGGATGTGAGCAAATCAGTGTACATTACATGTTAGACGCTTTTATCCAAAGCGACTTACTGTGGACAATTTGGGGTGAAGCGTCTTTCCCAGGGACACAATGACATGCTGACTGCAGTGGGGTTTGAACCTGTGACCCCCTGATCCCAACACCAACGAGTTACTTATTAATATAATGCAGTTGTTTGCAGCATTTAGTCTAATCCAACGGGAAACAATGGATGTAGCACTTGATCAAGCATGTTTACTTGGTATTCGTGTAGCAAAATGGCCCCGCATAAGAAATGTGCCATCTTATCAACCGAGCAGTACTAAAGCTGCCTGATAAAGTAAGTGTAGTTATTGTGATACTGTTTGATCATTATTTGAATCTAGATGTGTATACCCATCTCTAAAGTTGTTATCCTCCTAAGGGATACACACTAGACACAACAGACTTCATCACTTGAAAAGTCCTTCGTAGAGCCTTGTTTTTGGACCCTATGTGTGCTTTGGGGAAAAGATTGATTTGGGTTGTGGTGGAAGTGAGAATGTAATTTCTTCCACACGAGGGCAGTCATCATTTACACAAATGACAGAAGTTAATGTCAAAGAGTTATCTTTTACGGAAATAAAGCCACAGTACATCTGCTTGTAATCCGCTTAGAGAGTAGACATGTTTTACAACTGGATTCCAGGGCTGTAGAGTGTGTAGGAGCCAGATATATTACAATGCTATTTTTAAAACGTGTTTTAGCATCACTTACGGAAATGCACGTGGTGTTGGTAGCCGTAGCAATGAGGATATCACCTGTTCACCAGTTAGTAAGTGAAAGGAAAGGGAAAGGGTGATAGGCAAATCATTGTTGAATCACTTTAAATGTCTTTTGGACCACCCTGGATGTGTCCACCACAACTGTTGGGTATTCCTGCAAATGAAACTACACACACCCATTGGATTTATGAATGAATGGCAGCCAGCATGTCAGAACGTTTAGGAAGTTTGGTTTCAGATGTCTCCATAATGTGGACTCTTGTTCCTTCCACTTTCAAAGGGATTAGAGTAGATGTGTTTGTTCTTCTCTTAAGGGTTATGTAAGGATTTAACTGGTGCTTGTTAAATCCTGGGGAGAAATGCTAATTACCTTGACAGAAGACAAGACTGTGGGAAGATTATGTAAAGGTTACTTAAGGGTGGGGTAGGTAAGTTTGAGAAACCGGCTCGAGATACACTTGTTATATTCCATGGAATGCTCTTAACATCCCGATAGCAATGAATATCTTAAATGCTTTGACAATAAATCCATAAAAAAAGTCATCTCTGGAAGCCGTGGCGCTGTAAAAAGCACGACCAATCATCCGAGCCGGCTAAAGTAACTGGATGGCCTACCTGCCTGTCAGCCTTCCATCTGGGCACAAACTTATCTCGTGCCCTCATTGGTCATGTGCGCGTTTGTGTGTGTTGGAGGAGGGTATTTTCAAATTCTAGCGCACTCGAGCTGGTTTCTCCAAAATGACCTACCCCACCTTTAACTGTTTCCCAACAGAGAAAACGAAAAAACGTTTTTTATATAGGGATCGAAACCATAGACGCTACAGCATATAAATGTAGTCTCCGAGACGTCACCCATAGTCTGTTTTTATCATTTAATCACATGTTCTTAAATGACTTGCTTGTTGATGTGAACTTAGACAACATTATTGTTTATCACTATTATCAAAATAAGATTTCATCACAATATCATTCCAGTGAAAGATGATCCATTATCATATCTTATTTCTTAGCCTTAAAGGGGCCCTATTATTCAAATGTTTAGGTTCATATTTGTATTTTGTGCTAATACTGTTAAATGCTTTATTAATAATACATTTATTGTTCTCATACTGCCTGTGCTGCTGCACCTCTTTTCACCCTCTGTCTGAAACCAGAGCCCAGTCTGCTCTGATTGGTTAGCTGGCCGGCTCTGTTGTGATTGGTCAACCACTTGGAGATGTCCCGCCTCTTAGCCTATCACGTACATTGTGTTGGAGCACTAGCCTCTTTAATTTACAGTGTTATCTGTACTTAAAATGAACGGATGGATGTGTTGCAGTACTTAGTGTTTCCACTTTGTATCATCAGGTCACAGGTGTGGTTGGCCGAGCAGAACTTCTTTCCTCCATCTTTCTCCTGGCTGCTTTCCTGGCCTACACAAAATCAACAGGGAGAGACCACTCCATTGGTAAGTCTAACATAACTTCTTGATGTCTCACCTCCAATAGCACTGCTCTCATTTCGAGGAATTCTTATTTTCCTTGTGACCTTTCATTAAGACAGTACTGAAAACATTCAAGACAGAGGCAGAAAACCAAAGCCAACATTCTCACGTGTGATTCAATGATCTAGAACCGTGGTTCCCAACCTGGGGGGCGCCAAAGATCGCAGGGGGGGCGCCAGGCCTCAGATGATTTGAGGCCAAATATCATATTCTACATATAATTGTAAAGCAATACATTGATTGTCACTAAAAGCCTGGTCTCTACATTACAATAACATATACAAAATAATTGACTAATTAATTTTAATACAAATTCAAGTTAGTATTAAAGGCATAAAAAGACAGAAATGTATAATTGTTTCTTTAATAGAAATGTCTCTTCTGCCCGTAAAGTGTCCAAACCAGGCTTTTCTGGATAAACGCATGTTTAAAACATAGTCATTGTCCATGCCGGTTTCAGTTGGATTATTTGTCAGTTGCTCCAATCAGATCGGTCTCCTCCATTTTGTAGATTATTTACGACTTTTGAATCCACATAAACACATCGTCAAAATCCGGCTTACTTTGAGCATGTGTTTTAAACAGTTTAATCCCTTTGTGAATTGTTTCCACTTGTGCCGTCCTTTAATTTCTTCATACAGCGGGAATCCAAATGAATGAATCCTGAGTCCAATAACCATTAAAGTCACTCCAATAGTGCTCCTTGATTACGCTTTCATCCGTTTGTGACCGTAGTTGTAGCATTTTGAGACTTTGAAACTTTAATTACCGCTGTTGCACCACCCCCCCTAGTGTGTGTGGGGGGGGAGAAACTTCCAACAGGAGTCATTTGGGGGGGGCTCTTGGGAAAACATTTTTGGGAACCCTTGATCTAGAAGGCTTCTGGCAATGTTACACAGTCCGCCGTCTGTTAATTAAAACTAAATATCCTATGCCATTTAGTTGAATACCAGTTCCTCCTACTCTAATTATGACTTTGTTGTTAGTGGTTCATTGTTGTTACACCACATGCATGCCTGTATTTGATGTCTTTCTTATGTGGGTTGTAATTTCAATCGGGGGGATATTTTCCGTAGTTAAATACATGTGTGTAATTTGTTTCTATAATCGTGTCCTGAGGAAATGAGACACCGCAACACATCTGTGATATTACAAAAATAATGTTATAAGTACAACACGCAATAAGAATCTATAATGAATAAAACACACACACCTGTTTTAAGAAAGGCTGCATTATTATCGTGCATTAACGGTTTTTTTATGGCTCTGGGATGGGCGATCAGTATTGGCTTGGGATTCAAGATTCAAGTCTTTATTGTCATGTGCACATTACAGTGTAGATATGGCAATGAAAACATAACAGTGCAACATGAATATATATATATATAGGACATAGAACAAATAAAACAGATAGAATAGTGCAAGAGAAGGGTGTCATCACGCATCTCAACCAATGAGAACATTTTGGGCGGGCCTAAGACTGCTGCAGCGCTCACATGAACAAGAACAGAAAATAACTGACGAGGACATACAAATGGAGAAAGGTACCGAACTCTTAGATGGACATTTTAAATCTCTTCCAGACCGCGGAGTTGATAGAACCAGAGTTATTTGTAACCACTGTACATTTGAATGTTCTTATCACTGGACTCTGAGGGTTACTTGTTTTTCGATAACAAAAGAGATATACAGTGTTTTCCTCCTTTAATCGCGTCAGCACAAACAACAAACAAAATTACGTGGTCAATTGCACATCTCCATCTTGGTGAAAGAGGCTCAAAAACAGCTGCATCTGTTTTATGAGCTTTATTCACCAGCCAAGATCTTGTTAGCTTTTAGAGTGCAGCAATATCAAAGTATCCTGACTGGCGTGGGATATGCAGGGCTGCAGACATCTGGGCTGCGGATGATAAAACTGCCCAGAACGTCATATGTAGAGAATCAGGGATATTTGGGGATTAGAGACGTAACCACTTTATTAGCTTTTGCATAAATTGTCTATTATTTGCAGAGATGGCAAAAGTTCACACATCCTTTCCTCAAGTAGAAGTACAGATACTCGTGTTTAAAAATACTCTGGTAAAAGTAGAAGTACTGACTAAACTTCTTTACTCAAGTAAAAGTAAAGAGGCTTTGAAATGTACTTCAGTAGAAAGTACCCATAACTAGCAGCTGTTTTAAAGAGTACCTGACCTCCCTTTATATTAATAGAACAATAATGTCATTGTTAGCTAATGAATGTTTCCATGCTGAACAACGGCAACATGACAACGTTTCCATTGGTCCCTCTTCTTTAGAGAAGACCAGGAAATGATGGATACACGGATCGTGTTCAAATCAATAGGCACGCAATGACTCTAAAGAATAATGATCACGCACCAAACACACATTCAGACTAAAGGAACCAGCTGTTTGGAAAATGAGAGAAGTAGAAAGTACAGGTATTTGAGTTCAACATGTAAGAAGTAGAAAGTACAGGTATTTGAGTTCAACATGTAAGAAGTAGAAAGTACAGGTATTTGTGTTCAACATGTAAGAAGTAGAAAGTACAGGTATTTGAGTTCAACATGTAAGAAGTAGAAAGTACAGGTATTTGAGTTCAACATGTGAGAAGTGGAAAGTACAGGTATTTGAGTTCAACATGTAAGAAGTAGAAAGTACAGGTATTTGAGTTCAACATGTAAGAAGTAGAAAGTACAGGTATTAGGGTTCAACATGTAAGAAGTAGAAAGTACAGGTATTTGTGTTCAACATGTAAGAAGTAGAAAGTACAGGTATTTGGGTTCAACATGTAAGAAGTAGAAAGTACAGGTATTTGAGTTCAACATGTAAGAAGTAGAAAGTACAGGTATTTGTGTTCAACATGTAAGAAGTAGAAAGTACAGGTATTTGGGTTCAACATGTGAGAAGTAGAAAGTACAGGTATTTGTGTTCAACATGTAAGAAGTAGAAAGTTCAGGTATTTGGGTTCAACATGTAAGAAGTAGAAAGTACAGGTATTTGTGTTCAACATGTAAGAAGTAGAAAGTACAGGTATTTGAGTTCAACATGTAAGAAGTAGAAAGTACAGGTATTTGAGTTCAACATGTAAGAAGTAGAAAGTACAGGTATTTGAGTTCAACATGTAAGAAGTAGAAAGTACAGGTATTTGAGTTCAACATGTAAGAAGTAGAAAGTACAGGTATTTGTGTTCAACATGTAAGAAGTAGAAAGTACAGGTATTTGGGTTCAACATGTGAGAAGTAGAAAGTACAGGTATTTGTGTTCAACATGTAAGAAGTAGAAAGTACAGGTATTTGTGTTCAACATGTAAGAAGTAGAAAGTACAGGTATTTGAGTTCAACATGTAAGAAGTAGAAAGTACAGGTATTTGGGTTCAACATGTGAGAAGTAGAAAGTACAGGTATTTGGGTTCAACATGTAAGAAGTAGAAAGTACAGGTATTTGAGTTCAACATGTAAGAAGTAGAAAGTACAGGTATTTGAGTTCAACATGTAAGAAGTAGAAAGTACAGGTATTTGAGTTCAACATGTAAGAAGTAGAAAGTACAGGTATTTGTGTTCAACATGTGAGAAGTAGAAAGTACAGGTATTTGAGTTCAACATGTAAGAAGTAGAAAGTACAGGTATTTGAGTTCAACATGTGAGAAGTAGAAAGTACAGGTATTTGTGTTCAACATGTAAGAAGTAGAAAGTACAGGTATTTGAGTTCAACATGTAAGAAGTAGAAAGTACAGGTATTTGAGTTCAACATGTAAGAAGTAGAAAGTACAGGTATTTGTGTTCAACATGTAAGAAGTAGAAAGTACAGGTATTTGAGTTCAACATGTAAGAAGTAGAAAGTACAGGTATTTGTGTTCAACATGTAAGAAGTAGAAAGTACAGGTATTTGAGTTCAACATGTAAGAAGTAGAAAGTACAGGTATTTGTGTTCAACATGTAAGAAGTAGAAAGTACAGGTATTTGTGTTCAACATGTAAGAAGTAGAAAGTACAGGTATTTGAGTTCAACATGTAAGAAGTAGAAAGTACAGGTATTTGTGTTCAACATGTAAGAAGTAGAAAGTACAGGTATTTGAGTTCAACATGTAAGAAGTAGAAAGTACAGGTATTTGTGTTCAACATGTAAGAAGTAGAAAGTACAGGTATTTGAGTTCAACATGTAAGAAGTAGAAAGTACAGGTATTTGTGTTCAACATGTAAGAAGTAGAAAGTACAGGTATTTGTGTTCAACATGTAAGAAGTAGAAAGTACAGGTATTTGAGTTCAACATGTAAGAAGTAGAAAGTACAGGTATTTGGGTTCAACATGTAAGAAGTAGAAAGTACAGGTATTTGTGTTCAACATGTGAGAAGTAGAAAGTTCAGGTATTTGAGTTCAACATGTAAGAAGTAGAAAGTACAGGTATTTGTGTTCAACATGTAAGAAGTAGAAAGTACAGGTATTTGTGTTCAACATGTAAGAAGTAGAAAGTACAGGTATTTGTGTTCAACATGTAAGAAGTAGAAAGTACAGGTATTTGGGTTCAACATGTAAGAAGTAGAAAGTACAGGTATTTGTGTTCAACATGTGAGAAGTAGAAAGTTCAGGTATTTGAGTTCAACATGTAAGAAGTAGAAAGTACAGGTATTTGTGTTCAACATGTAAGAAGTAGAAAGTACAGGTATTTGTGTTCAACATGTAAGAAGTAGAAAGTACAGGTATTTGTGTTCAACATGTGAGAAGTAGAAAGTACAGGTATTTGTGTTCAACATGTAAGAAGTAGAAAGTACAGGTATTTGGGTTCAACATGTAAGAAGTAGAAAGTACAGGTATTTGTGTTCAACATGTAAGAAGTAGAAAGTACAGGTATTTGTGTTCAACATGTAAGAAGTAGAAAGTACAGGTATTTGTGTTCAACATGTGAGAAGTAGAAAGTACAGGTATTTGTGTTCAACATGTAAGAAGTTAAAAGTCATCAGAAAAATAAGTAAAGTACTGATACCAGAAAAATGTACTTAAGTACAGTAACGAAGTATTTGTACTCCACTACTTCCCACGTCTGGTAACCACTGTATTATCTTTTGCATAAATCGTCTATTATTTGTGTTCCCTCTTTTTTCAGTGTGGGCTCCCATCGCTCTGACAGTTATTCTAGTGGCTGCAGCAACACTATGCAAGGAGCAGGGAATCACTGTGGTCGGCATCTGCTGTGTCCATGAAGTGTTTGTGGCTCAAGGGGTAAGCCTCAGAAACTTGTTCACTCTTTGTTCCAATTAGTCCCACCGGCTAACAACATAAATAGGCACATTTTTGCCACCAAATAGCTCAGCGGTGAGACCTGGTGGGCAATATGCGATGAACTGCCAAGTACATGGGTTAGACTCCCGAGCACACCGAAGTTGCCCAAAAATATCTATAAAAAAAAAGAAATGGGCTGAATAAACAAGTCAGCACCAGCCCTTCTTATCGATGCCACATCAGCACAACAAGATACCATCGCTGGGATGATAGCACTCCAGGGTTATCGAGGCTTGAATTTCTCAGCAGTCTGCAAAGTTCTCATAGGTGATTTTAGCGAAATCCATCCAGGTTGGTCTAAAGGCCACAGACAGGATTCTCCCTGCAGAAAAGCTTTGAATTTCATTTGCACGAGACATTGAAATCTTCCTGGACACGTTGACGGGCAATTTTAACGTTGACCTATGGTGCCTGTTAAACAATCAGGAGGTTGGAGTAAGAGACCTTGCAGTCACATACATCTGAACCATGTCGGACAGTAAAAACTAAGCCATTAAGGGATCTAAAAACCGATAAAGGATTTAAAATGATTTATGTGACAGACAGGTATCCAATGAAAATATTTCTCAGATTGTTGTAGGCTCTCTGTCACATCAGACTCAGGTTTCTGTCAGAACACGAGCTGCTGTAACTGTCTAATATTTATCTGAGAAACACCAGATAGAGCATTACAGAAATCCCGCGTAGGCATGCCAAGTGTCGACACTGCTATCTTGGCTCCAAAATGGTGGAGCGAACAACAGAAAGTCTCCGAATCCTCTGTTGCAGAATTAAAAGAACATCTGTGACACCTGCGCTTTAAACCATTAAACCAACAAATGTAGAACAAGGTTTGGCTCATTTTAAGCTAATGCACCAGCACTTCCAATGGTATGCTAACTTACAGCAAATGTACCTGCATGTTTCTGGCTGTTCTGAGTTAATATCTTCACGGTTTATTGCATTTACTGTAAGTCGCTAAAATCAGCCAAATGAGGTGGGAAAACGTTTGTGAAACTTCAGACCGATAGAACTGAAGAGTCGCTCACAGCTAAAACAAAAAGGAAAAGGGACTTCATTCTGAAAGCCTGTATGAACCCTGTAAAATATAATGTTCTGTTGTTGACCAATTCCTTCCTCTTTCTCTCAGTTTTCCTTGCCCATGCTGTTGGACACGCTTCGGCAGGTGTTGCAGGGTAAAGAAGGTTTCCCCTACGCTCTCCTGCAGACTCTGCTGAAGCTCATCGTCCTCGTCATCAGCACCCTGCTGCTCGTCATCGTCAGGGTCCAGATCATCCAGTCGCAGCTTCCTGTCTTCACAAGGTACGCAGCATTATCCTATCAGCAGCTACACTTTACACCCTATAACATAACCTTTTGAGTGAGTTATTCAGATGAGTACCAGGAGACAGCGTTTGGTACTCACCCCACACGAAGCGTGGTCCTCCTCAGTGTCTCCTTCACTGTCCTCTATTTACACTTCTTGCATGCTAGATGATGAAGATGATGAAGATGCACCTCCCTGTCTCTTTGTAAGCCTCCGATTTGCTTTCTCCAAAACTTGTTGCCAAAACTGTGAAGTCCTTGCATTTCCTGAGGCCAAGTTGGAGGATCAAATACTAAGAAATGATCACATGACTTGAAGTCATATCTGATTTCAGATGTGGGAAGTTACTAAGTACACTTCTTCAAGTACTCTACTTATATGATATTTGTACTTGACTTTGATCTAATTTGTAAAACTAGCTGCACCTTTACCAGCTTTGAGAACACTTTCATGATCAATCATTACAAAACATATCATATATATTATTCTGAAATGGACCAATCTGCACAACGACTACTTTTACTGTCGCTACTTTCACTATATTTTGATGAGAATACTTTTCTAATTTTACTTGAGTAACATTTTGAACGCAGGACTTTTACTGTAACAGAGTATTCCTACACTCTGGTACTTCTACTTTTTCTCAAGTACAAGACCTGAGTACTTCTACTTTTACTCAAGTACAAGATCTGAGTATTTCTACTTTTACTCAAGTACAAGACCTGAGTACTTCTACTTTTACTCAAGTACAAGACCTGAGTACTTCTACTTTTACTCAAGTACAAGATCTGAGTATTTCTACTTTTACTCAAGTACAAGATCTGACTACTTCTACTTTTACTCAAGTACAAGACCTGAGTACTTCTACTTTTACTCAAGTACAAGATCTGAGTACTTCTACTTTTACTCAAGTACAAGATCTGAGTACTTCTACTTTTACTCAAGTACAAGATCTGAGTATTTCTACTTTTACTCAAGTACAAGACCTGAGTACTTCTACTTTTACTCAAGTACAAGATCTGAGTACTTCTACTTTTACTCAAGTACAAGATCTGAGTATTTCTACTTTTACTCAAGTACAAGACCTGAGTACTTCTACTTTTACTCAAGTACAAGATCTGAGTATTTCTACTTTTACTCAAGTACAAGACCTGAGTACTTCTACTTTTACTCAAGTACAAGACCTGAGTACTTCTACTTTTACTCAAGTACAAGATCTGAGTATTTCTACTTTTACTCAAGTACAAGACCTGAGTACTTCTACTTTTACTCAAGTACAAGATCTGAGTACTTCTTCCACCTCTGTCTGATTTCAAACTCTTCCATTAACACCCTGAGGAAGTTTTCAAATGTGTGTTTTACTCCACTTTGTTGTAAATAAAACTGCAGCAGCTTGACCACACAATTCTGTTGTTCATACCGACGTTAACCCTGTCTGTGCACACGGCGACCAACTCTGTCGTCCGGTGATCTAAGCCTCTGCCTCCTGTAAACTTCACTGGTCCGTCGGTTATGTCCTGCGCGGCTCGGCCAGCACCCAGTTCAGTCAGTCACAGAAAGTCCGAAGAGTTTTTGCAGGGAGCGAAACGGCAACGTAGCTGCTTAATGTCTGTGTTTTTTTTTTTACATGTCTCGTAGTTTACTCCATTGACTGTTGACAAGAAACACGTGTAGACGAAATATGTGTTTTGTTTAGATGTTTTGAGGTACGCAAAGGCGCGTAGTGACACAAGTGACGTTACGCAATTCAGATTTTTGCCGCGCATGCGTACCAGTTATGTGCACCCCTGCCTATAATGCTATTTCTCCCAGTTTGTATTATACTCAATAGATTCGTACTTTCACTGTCTTTTTATATTACTACAGGATGATGAAATATTTGTATGACATTTCAATTCAAAATTCAATTCAAATTCAAAGGTTTTATTGTCACATGCACAAAGCTACAGTGTAGAAATGGCAATGAATTATTCTGACCTGAGCTCCCCCAACAATGCAACATATATAATAAAATACGAATTAAAAAGTAGTGCAAAAAGTCTATATACATGTCAATAGAATATGGCTTATATTAATGCATTGAGGTAATTTTCTTTCATAGTTTGGCGTGCTTAAAAAAATATATAGCTCTTCTGTGTGTTTTGTGCACAAAAGGAAAAGACATGTGCAGATACTAAAGGGCAGTGGAACACATTGAAACTCATGATGGATGCAGGATTATGTAAACGCATTATACGAGACTGGTTCTCTTTTTTCGATGACGTAATAGTTTACATAATGTTTTATTTGTGTTTGATTGAAGTAGAAAATCTTCCCATGGCTTCTGTCTTCCTGCTGCTGATTTGATGTTCTGCATAAATAACACATTCATATGCATTGAACTCTAATTCCTTTATCTCAGACGTTCAAAGCTGTCAAATGTGAAGTGTTTAAAAGGTCGAAGCCACTGCAACCTGAAACCAACTGAAACATATTCCCTTTAATCCTCTCACATGACGGTGCATGGAAAAAGAGAACACAGTGTTTTTATTATTCCACTAAGTTACGATTTTCCTAACATGTTGACTGTGCCCTCTGAAAACCATCTAAAGCCAAATGTATGTGGAATGCAATATTTATGCTATAATAGGATATGTATTGTAGCGATAACATAGAGATTGTTATCACTGCAGGGGAATTTTATCACAACATGATAGGCAAGGCAAGGCAAGTTTATTTATATAGCACCTTTCAACACAAGGCAATTCAAAGTGCTTTACAAAAAACGAAAGACATTAAGAAAATGGCATTTCAAATCAGTCATTTTAGGTGATAGGTGAACATACCTTATGGGATCTCCTCTCGCCCATGACACCTATCGACATTGACAAAGTATCTGCTTTACATATCATGGAGCTCAACACGCACACCCTGTGCATCGTTTCTGATAAAGGCGAAATACTACCCAAAATTCAATTTGAAAACCGTTTTGTGTCTTTCCCTCAGACAGACAACTTCTTGTGAGTGTTTTAATGTCGTTACGGGGGCTCAACATGCAGCGTCTGATGCTACAACAGAGACTGAATTAGCAAACTGGTCAAGCCAAAGTTTTGAAGTAGGGAACATTTGTGCCAGGGAATTGATCAGAAGTCTGTCTGAACCTGGGATTTAATTTCCTGATCCTGAAAGCACGGAGGTCAACAGGAATGAAATCCAGCAGCATGCTTTTCACAGACAGGACGAAAGTACGTAGCTTTCTAGAGCTCTGTGAAATTACTAAAAAAATACGGTTGATTGCCCCCTGTGTTTTAATCTGAGACGAACAGCCTTCAAATGTTTCCGTTATTGTCAGAAAACATGGTCTGCAAAGGCTAAAATCCCTGTCTTCCACCAGAGGGAGTTTCTCTCCCCCACACTGCATTGGATTCCTTTGTTTACTTCTGCAACAAAGTGACATCACTATGTAACACTTGCACTTATATCGGCTAGTGCTACAACACATTGAACGTGATAGGGTAAGAGGCGGGACATCTCTAAGTGCCAGTTTTTAATGTTTTATAATGGTTTCTTTTATTTGCATATTGACTGGTTAATGTGCCATGTTATTTGTGTTTTACAGCTGTATTCGTCACCCTGTATTGTCTGTGTTTTATCTGTTGTAACTTTGTTCATGCTGCCCTCTTGGCCAGGTCGCTCTTGGAAAACAGATTTTAATCTCATTAGACGCATTCACACCGGAGTACTTTTACCCGTACTGTTCCCGTTTAGTTCCGATAGTGCCTGGAATTTTGCATTCACACCAAAAAGAGAACTTAGTTCCGAGAACTTTTATCCCCATTTGTAGTGCCTGCTAGAGAGGTGGGACTATCCTGGGGAGAAAAAAGTACCAATTTCTGATTGGCTGGGCGAATTGCAAACCACGCCCCGTAAAACTCTGAAAAGTTTTGTGAAGCTGCCATTTTATTTGCTGGCATTAGCATTATTAGCATTAGCCCCGCGCACCAACGGAGAGAGAATAACTTATGGCAACACAAAATAAAACATGGGAGCGGTGGAGATGAGGAGGTGTCGGTGTTCTTGCGATTTACTCGGAAGGCTTCAGTAGAAGCTGCTGGGACTCCCAGCAGCTTCTACTGAAGCCAGTCCCCAACTCCGGGGACTTCCGGCCGGGGACTCCGGGTGGCAGTATACGCCGTGAAGTGGTTTGCGGCCTGCCAGTAAACCCAAAGCAGAAGAAGAAGAAAAAGTGACGTCAGCGGCTTCATTTGCGTAATCTTCCCTCAGGGAACTTATTCCGGTGTGAACGCGATCGGCTCTTAGTTCCATGGGGGCAGTAATATGAAGCACACCTGCACACTTGCTAGCCTGTTCCGCTCTTCGTTTTCCGAATGCCAGGAAGTATTCTTGCCTCGCTTCTGAAGCAAGATGCTTGGCAGACATGTGCTACCCTGTGTCTCAATGAGATTTTCACATGTATAAATAAAGGCTGAAAAAAATAAAAGGGGGCGGAGCTTATGGCGGCACATGCGGGACCTGGCAGACTGTCTAAAATGCTGCGGTGATGAAACGCAAGGATTATTAGATCAAGGATTATTTCTGAAACAGGCTTTCTCTCTTGCCGGTTATACCACAAGGTGAGTTCCTTTTTATTTCCTGCTCCTTCACACACAGTGCTGGACTTCGAATCAGGGGGTAGCAAGTTCGAGTCCCACTGCAGTCAGCATGTCGTTGTGTCCCTGGGCAAGACACTTCACCCCAAATTGCTCCTGTGGGGATTGTCCACAGTACTGAATGTATGTAAGTCACTTTGGATAAAAGCGACTAATGACATGTAATGTAATATAAACACTGACAATATTACGTCCAAAACAGTCGGGCATTGTTTCTGATGGCAACGCTTCTGATAGTGCTGTGGGTCCTCCGCCGGTATTACGTCAAATCGCCGCAAATCTGGATCAGCTCCGTTGTAGCCCCGTTTTTAGAGATTTGGGTACGGAGGAAAAGAGAGAGGGTTTTATTTTCTGACGCTGCGTGAGTTCCCTGACACACCGGGGACAAATATTTATTTATAAAAGACATCAAAAAGTGCATTTTGCATGATAGGTCCCCTTTAAAGTAAGAAATTATATCTCACATTAATTTGCATTATTTACACTGTGTGTGGCCTCTGTCAAATGCTGAGCAAACCTTTACTAACTAAAATGAACAAAGACAAGAGAATAAAACCAATATCAATTTGCAGACTCAACCAAATGGCATTTAATCGCCAAGATACATTTCCAGTCAAATAACCTAAAATAGCTAATCCTCTAGCCCTAATCCTCAAAATGTCTCCAGACCGTCTGAAAGTATGTCTTTGTTGAAGCCAAAACAATACTGCATATGTAGATTGTAACTCTCCTAGTTGTGACTAGTTGATAAAAACCTCATAAACAAGTTAGGACTGTCCCAGGGCAGTTTAGATACATCAGGCTGGAGGTCTGTTCTCCATAAACACCAAAGAGAGATCAGGAGATAAGAAGGTGGAAGTCGTATAAACAAAACATGTCTAGTGTGACTGCAGGACAGCCACCATTACAGGTTACATATTAACATCCGCCAAAGGAGGATTATCAACAGGATTAAGGAACAGTTCCGTTTGCCAGGTTTTTTGAAGTGACAATGAATCCTTTCAGTCTTGAACTGTAATGATACTTGGCGTAAGGGCATAGTACAGGCAAAGGAAGGACCTCATTTTGAAACAGATTTGAGTCAGATACACACATTATGCTTCACTTTTCTAACCTTTACAAGATCAGGTATTTGTGCTGTTTGCATGGGATGTCCGACTAATCCCAAAAACACATATTTTTAGGATTCATCATTACGACTTTAAGCTCATGAACTCACGTATAAAAGAACGAGGTCACAGTTCAGGAAATTATACATAAATCGAGAGTGCCATTCTAGTCCAAATTATAACAATTGCTTTTGTAGTGAAATGTGTTTTTGCTTACTAGTAACGAGGATGGCTGGTTGATGCTCATGACAAACTGTTGTTGAATCACAATAGCTGCAGGCCAGAAAGCCAGGACTTTAATAGTCCAATGACTGTGGTGATAAAGCTTTGCCAGATAGGAAATGGATTACTATTGTCCTAGACTGGAGGCTTGAATTATTGTTAATCACTTATTGAACAACAAGAAATTGGCATAAATGTGTACTTTTTCAAAACATGTTGTCTTTAACGTGCCAACGATGCTACCTACTATCTGGGCTTTACCACTACCAACTGGCCAACCATACCCTTCATCAGCAATTTGTTCCATGAAGTTAAAAAGAAAAATACCACAAAATGTCCATTAAAATGTGTCATTTAAAATCATCATGGTCCCCAGATGATGGAAACAAATTGTTTTTCTTAGGCATTCTTTCATTTTATAACCCCATCAGATGCTTTCTGTAACAAGGTGGACATCTCCCCTATGTGCCTATAGCCATTTTCAGTCTGATTATATGGCATTCAGTGATTACAGTTTGTCTGCTGACTTCAACTTTTAAAAGCTTATAATGAAACAAAATGTGTACAGTTTTTTTCATTAAAAAAAATGCTTTTTATGTTTGAGAGTATTCATTTTTTGTCTGTGTATGGATCTCTCATTTGAGCATTTAAAACTGCCATTGTAGGAGTTAGGTATCATACAAATGAGTTGTAATTGAACTAAAAGATACATTACAAAATGTAATGGGTGCTATACATATATATATATATATCAGCTTTTTGTTGTAACACATGAATACATTATTGCGCTCCAGGGGATGACCTCTTTCCATTTTGAATACTTTCTGAACCATCCTCCATTTATTGAAAAAAGAAATTCCACATAAGGGATCTCATTATGGAATATAAAAAACGCAATGGCATTTGCTAAGGGCACTCGTATTCTCAAGGGAAGAATAGTCTCTGTTCATTATAGATGGCCTATTACTATAGAGGACATTTAGACTTTGTATACATATATAGTAGATAAATCCTGTAGCTCAAGCTAGGCCAAACAGATTTTCTCCCAAATCATGCCTGTATACAAATTCACACATGTTGACCCTCGCCGCTCTACCCATCCCATGCTTTATTGGTCAACTAATCCCTTCTTTATTGTGTCCTCTCTTGTAGATTTGATAACCCGGCAGCTGTCAGCGTCATTCCCACAAGACAACTGACTTTCAACTACCTTCTTCCTTTGAATGCGTGGCTCCTGCTGAACCCCTCTGAGCTCTGCTGTGATTGGACGATGGGCACCATCCCTCTGGTGGAGTCAGTCCTGGACCTCCGTAACCTGGCCACGCTGCTGTTCTACACCTTTCTGGGCCTGCTGGCCTACTACAGCCTGCGCTACAGCCACAGCTCCTCGAAGACCGTCATCATGGTGAGAGGACGTTTTACCTGATCATTCATATACATGTTACAGTGATCAATCTCTAAAAGGTCCCCTATTACACTGTTTTGCATCAATATATTATAGGTCTCAGACAAACATGTCTCTGAAGTGTTTGGCTGGAAATACCAAACAGATCATTGCAGCATTACCCATAATCCCCTCTGTTTCAGCCCTGTTTCAAAAGTGCTGATTCTCAGATATTTGGTTAGAAAGAACTCAATGGTGCTCTAGGAGGAGATTCAGGTGATAAGGTGGGGGGGGGGGGTTACCTTGGTTGGTGATTGGCTAATGGTTACACAAGACAAACAATCGTGATGACCTCATAAAGTGGCCAAAATCTGATCAGCTCATTTTCAGACAGGTTTTTATAGAAATGGATCAAAAAGAGAGAGAATCTTTGTTCCTGAAACTTTCAGAGTCTCTTTCCACAGAGGGGACACATGTTGATGTAGAAGAGACATGAAGAAGAGGGGACACATGTTGATGTAGAAGAGACATGAAGAAGAGGGGACACATGTTGATGTAGAAGAGACATGCAGAAGAGGGGACACATGTTGATGTAGAAGAGACATGAAGAAGAGGGGACACATGTTGATGTAGAAGAGACATGAAGAAGAGGGGACACATGTTGATGTAGAAGAGACATGAAGAAGAGGGGACACATGTTGATGTAGAAGAGACATGAAGAAGAGGGGACACATGTTGATGTAGAAGAGACATGAAGAAGAGGGGACACATGTTGATGTAGAAGAGACATGAAGAAGAGGGGACACATGTTGATGTAGAAGAGAGGACACATGTTGATGTGGAAGAGACATGATGAAGAGGGGACACATGTTGATGTGGAAGAGACATGGAGAAGAGGGGACACATGTTGATGTGGAAGAGACATGAAGAAGAGGGGACACATGTTGATATAAAAAAGACGGGAAAAAGTGGATTTTGCATAATAGGTGACCTTTAAATGGATCAAAGACCTTTGGACAGATGCATTCTGTCTTTCCAGATTCAGAGATTTTGTGACCTACAGATCATTACAAAATGTACTTTTTTGGATCCTTTACAAAAAACAGCATCATTTTATGTATTTTAATATATTCCTATATTTGAATGTATGTTTCAATGGTAGTATGAATTAATATGCAAAAAAATACATGTTTCCCGCTAATATCGTGAATCATATAGCAATCAAAATGATTTTTTCCAAATCAGGCATCAACAAAACATTTTAAAACTCAAAAGTGTGTCTATTTTGTAAGACCAATGTTGTGTCTTAATCAATTACGGTACATCCATACAGCAGCTTTTCGAAAATCTTGGAGCTGGGCGTGTCTGAAAGCTTGGGGATTTTTTTGCGAGCAACGCGACCAACAACCAATCACATGAATCTCCCGCCCCCGACATACAAAGCAAAAAACCCCGGGGATTTTATGCGAGCAATATATATAAATATTAGGGCCGGGACTTTAACGCGTTAATTAAGATTAATTAATCACACAAAAATTAACGCGTTAAAAAAATTAACGCATTTTAATCGCACTTATTTTTGCACCGCGGAACGTTTCTCACTGGATGAGTTTCAGGCGTACCGATTATACTGGAGCACCAACTAACGTTCATGACTTCAGACAACAACAAACCACAGTGAACAACAGTGAACAACAGTGGGAAATGTTGTTTTAAAAAACGGACGGATGGAAGCGTCGATAAGAGCACGGTTGTGTGCAAATTATGCAAAAAGGAATTCGCATATCACCGCAGCACATCAAGCCTCAAGTATCACCTCAATGCAAAACATATAGCAGCTAGCGTGGACGTTAGCCTCTTTTATCGCGTTCACACCAAAAAGAGCCGGTACTAAAATTAGTTCATGAGAACCTTTTTACCCCCACGAAAGTCCCTGCTAGAGAGCAGAGAGCTGATAGAGAGCAGGGACTTTCGTACGGCTCTCTTGTGAGAAAAGAGCTATATGTCTGATTGGCTGGGCGGATTGCAAACCACGCCCCGTAAAACTCCCAAAAAGTTTTGTGAAGCCGCCATTTTATTATCCTCGCATTAGCATTATTAGCATTAGCCCAGCGCAGAAATGCAGAGAGACTAACTTATGGCAACACAAAAGAAAACATGGGAGCGGTGGAGATGAGGAGGTGTCGGCGTTCTGGCGATTTACTCGGAAGGCTTCAGTAGAAGCTGCTGGGAGTCCCAGCAGCTTCTACTGAAGCCAGTCCCCAACTCCGGGGACTTCCGGCCGGGGACTTTGGGCGGCAGTATACGCCGTGAAGTGGTTTGCGGCCTGCCAGTAAACCCAAAGCAGAAGAAGAAGAAGTGACGTCAGCGGCTTCATTTGCCTAATCCACCCCCAGGTTCAAAGAGTTCTCATGAACTAAGTTCTCATGAACCTTTGTGGGAAAAGTACTGCGGTGTGAATGCGCCTAATGGTATACTAAAATCCATGTGAAAAAAATTGCTTCTCACTGTTCTCAGGTCAAATATTTATATGTGATTAAAAATGCGATTAATTTCGATTAATTAATTACAAAGCCTCTAATTAATTAGATTAATTTTTTTAATCGAGTCCCGGCCCTAATAAATATATATAAACTCCCCAAACAGGCGAAAACCTACCAGTTTCACCCACTGTCTCTGCCACCTCCCTCCATGCCTGGTTCCTCCGGTTTGTATCCCGGTAAATAGTCTGGTCGTAAAGAACCGGGTGATTTGCTACCGTAATTTCTCGTTTGGAATATGAGGAAATGAACTGCGGTCTGGTTCTCCCTGCTTACACGCGGTTTGATTGGCTAGCGCTTATACTGTCAGATTTGCATAAACGTGATTTGATTGGCTGACGCTTCCAGCTCAGCTTCAAAAGTTGAACATTGCTCAACTTTTGAATCCTGGAAATCCTGGAAATCTTCGCTTCGCTTCCCCACAATGCAGTTCAGCGAAAAGCGAGGCAAAGTGACGTCATCCCCATTCAAAGTCAATGGGCAGAGAAGTGTTGGAAGCGGTGGAAGATTCGTCTAAAGCTGCTGTGTGGACGTACCGTTAGGCTTTTGTAAAGTTATTATCAAAAACGTTTTTATGTGGATATTTCTGGATCTCTCATGCCCCTTTCACACCAACGCGTTTACAGCTCCGGCTCGGAGCTGGAGCCTGAAAAGTGCCGGTTTTTCCTGTTCACACCGCAGCGGCGCCGCCTCTTAGCTCCGGAATCCGGTTCACTTCCAGCTCCAAAAAATTGTCGGTCTAGAGGCAAGAGCTTCGGAGCTAAGAGGTGGCGTCGCTTACGTCTCTCTTACGTCGAGACGTGCAGGAAACTAAACCCTCCTCCCCTGAACATGGGTCGACTGTCATGCCTGCCTACAAGCAGAGTGCTTATAAACACACTTTATAAAGTCAGGCAACACTAACCAGGCTTCGTGTGATTCTGTTTATTTGTACCTTACTTTGACCATCCGTTCACTGTTATTGATCATTGTGGAGAGAGGCAGACGTGTTGTTTTGTATTATAGCAGCTATCGGATGGAATCAATACATGGGCTGCACAGGTTGTCGTGTCCGACTATCACAAGTAGAATCATAATAAAAATACGCTGGTAAAATGTGCCTGTAGAAAACGGTTTATGCCACAATAGGATAGCAATAGCAAGTAGTCAGTTTAGCTTCGGTTGCTATGCTAACATCACCCATGTTATACCAGATAAACTTTCATAACAGCGTTGTGATGCCAAACAGCGTCAATTCAGACTGACACACATTCACTTAGGCTAAGGGGAACTGGAGATATGTATCAGCTGCTTGTGTGAGTCGGACAGTGAATACTTTAGAGCGGCCGCTAACCGGGAGCTAACGGGAGCTAACGGGAGAATAAACTCCCGTGGAAGAGCAGCCAACACTGCAGCGGTCGGTAAATGCTGCAGAAACACATTAATAAACAATGAACCACGGCACTCTGGAGCAAAGTATAAGGTTGGAGAAGTCGTTATTTAATTTAATCTGGCTTCGTGTGATTAAAAGCAACACGATCATCGACCCGACGCAGTTCCCCGTTGTTGTGAGCGCCGTAACGCCATTGACGGTGACGTCATGACGCAGCAGCGGCAGCACCAGTCGGGTGCTGGGCGGTGTGAACAGAGCGGGAGCAGAAAAGGGAAACCGGAGCTGAACCAGAAAAGCTCCCGCTCGGAGCTAGAAAGGGAAAAGCGCTGGTGTGAAAGCCGCATCACATGACGGGTCCTTTTTCCTTCCATTACTAATGTGGGTATATTCACTTTGAGCTGCTTAGATTTAACTGAACCGCTTCATTGGTTGTTACCAATTCGGAGTGAAGGGCTCCTTTTGTGTATACAAAAAAGATTATGGGATGTCTCAACCAAAGCCTCAGCTTAAGTGGTTCCTCATGTTCACCAAGGCAGTATTGAGTATTTAGCAAAAGTTTAAGATGACTAGACACACTAGTTTTTATTACCATAGTCAGTATTTAAGTGCCATTGTTAAGATTCCCACCTTTGTTTTTCACCGTCTGTATGTTGATGGTTAACATGATGCTTGTGACTTAAGCACCATGACATCGTTAAATCACTTTAAGAGATAAGATCAGGATTGCAGAACATGCTTGGGAGCTTTATAATTCAATAAACTAATGAGATGTTGTTATTTTTATGTCCAACTCCAAACAAAGGGACAAAAATAGGCAATATCAGCCTAAGAGAAACGGCACATAAATGTCTCCCTTGAACACGTAGTAATTGTTCATCGTGGCACTCAGACAAATGAGCGTCGGTTTTGCAACAGGCTGCCTTTCATGAGGGTCACTAACATGTCCCCACAGTGTTGCTTTTAGAAGAACTGGACAACAAATCAACACAGAATAAACTGAATTATGAACTTTGCGGTGTTTACTCTGGTTTTATAAGAGCATTTGGAATATGTTGCATAAGAGTATCATACCACACCAACCTACTTATCGTGAGCGAGGCTGCCAGCTG